ATATATATATATATATATATATATATATATATATATAAGCTCTTCCACAAATAAATTCTACTAATTGGCAAAATTAATGCAAAATAACTCAAAATAATGAAACTATCATACATAGAAGCAAATCCAGCCTCGCTCAAGGCTCGGCGGTGGGATCATAATTCAACAGCAACTCTGCAAAGTATTCAAATTCTCAAGCCAATACTGTAAAGCATTCTCTTTTTTTTTTTTTTTTTTTTTTAAAGAAAAAAAAGTCATACAAATGAATTTAAAATTTATATAAAAAATTGAATACACGAGGTGAGCAGAAGAAGGCATCAACCTGAGGCAAAGATGGCACACTGAGGACAAACCTACATCTCAAGTATTATATCATATCATCCCAGCTTAGCTTTAGCTTAACCCGTTCTAGAACGCTTTAGACAAAACATATCATTCGAAAAATTAGTAATTCAAACCTGGCTAAAAGGCACTCCAATTATCTGATCCTTTCTTTGGAGTTTGATTATCCATGGACGCTCTAAATGGCCCTGTCGATCCAAACGGGTCTGGATCATCGAATGATGGGAATCCATGACCTTGATCGAAGTCTTTGCTGCTGCGCATTGAATCGAATCTTGCCAATGAAGGGAATCCCTGGTCGAAGTCCTTGCTGCTACGCATTGAATCAAATCGTGACAGTGAAGGGGATCCCTGATCGAAGTCCTTACTGCTGCGCATTGAATCGAATCGTGTCAGTGCTGAGGATCCTCCCTGATCGAAGTCTCTGTTGCTATGCGTTGTATCGAATTGACTGAATGATGAGAATCCAGGACCCTGGTCGAAATCTCTACTGCTGCGCATCGAATCGAACCGTGTAAATGTGTCCTTAGGAGGGAAAAAACCACTGTTATGCACGCTGGAAGAATCGAACCTTGAGAAGCTGTCAAAGCTTGGTTCCGATCCATCATGGTAATTATGTGGTGAATTTCCTGAGTTGACGAGTGGGGTGCTAGGAACAGACTCGTCAAAAGCAAATGTGCTTCTCTTAGCCTGGAATGGATCTGTTCTAATAGGATTCAAGCCGAAATCCCCAGAATCGAAAAAGTAGCTGTCCCGGGTTACATCATTGTCGGCCTGTAAATAGTAAATGGCAAATTAAATGTATGCATCAACAGGTCTCAAGAACAGCTGAATAAACAAACGCTGGAGCAAAATGAACATTGGCAACAAGCACAACATCACAAGTAGATATCAGGACCACCATATAAAAACGATGACATATTTTATAACACATAATAGAAATGTCAAATAAATAGGTACTGAATATGCGTATATATTGATATTATTTAACACTTCTAAATAATATGCGTATATTTCCTAGCTCTCAAGTATACGAAACTGAATGTATCGAGAGGAAAGTTTAAGGAAAAAAAAGTTGATAGGATAAAGTGAAGAGCTAAGAAGCACGGATCCTTTCAGTTTGGCTCGCATGTTTGCATCCGACACTTGTTCAACACATATCGTACATTTGGTAGCACAATAGACATTGTTAGACATTAGTTTGTACAAAGTCAATATAGGTATAACATTTGTCAGGCATGTATCGAACACTTATCAAGTGTACTAACTCGACACATAATAATAATATAGGGCAAAAAAAAAAATCTGGAGACTGAAGTACATCAAAGTCATATTTCTAGCATATAAATGCATAAAGTTGTTGATTTTAATAAATGTGTTCTTCCCGTGTCTGTGCCCTAGATTTTTAAAAAAGTGGCATGTAATCGTATATTTTCATGCCCATATCTCATATTCGTATTCACGCTTCTCAGGTGAGGAGCATTTGTGCTAATTGAGTAGTCAATTATGAAGTACAATTTTCTGCTCACCTTGGTGGAACCTCCTGCGTTAAAGCCCCAAACAGAGTCAATATCATCGTTTGCATCAAATGCTCCCCAAGCTGGTTCGTCGTAGCTCTTGTCACCAGAAAACACAGATCCTGCACCTCCATGGTCACTGAAGAAATGGTTCGGGTAAATTATTTATTCAAGAGTAGAGAGTTTACTTCAAAAGAAAAAAAAAATCATAAGAATGATAGTAGTTATGAACTCCTTTTGCAACTCTAATTTCTTACTAAAAATGAACTTCTTTTGCAACCCTTATTTCTTGCTAAAAGAAAGTCAAGTGTTTCCTGTAATTCACGTTCTCACGGAACACCCAGGCACTCCTTTTTTCATCCACCTTTGTGAATTGATGTATGTCTTTTAAAAACATGTAGATAACAATGCTAATCAATTAAAGATCAAGACCATGACCCATTAACCGAAACAGGCTATAGAAGTGAAAAATAGAAACAAAAACTCTTAGAGAAATAGACAACCAAAAAGAAAAGTTAGTAGACAACCAAGAAGAAAAGTTAGATACCTTAAAGCGTCCTTAGCATGGGGGGAAGCATCAAAGCCAGCAGCCTTTCCAAAACTGGAATCCATATATTCCTTGGGACTTCCAATAACACTACTTGCAAAGGGGCTGCTAGGAGCACTTTTGGGTGCGAAGGGGCTGCTAGGTGCACTTTTGGGTGCGAAGGGGCTGCTAGGTGATCTTTTGGGTGCGAAGGGGCTGTTAGGAGCACTTTTGGCTGACCCATTTTCACTTTTATTATCATGTGCGGAACCATTTTCAACAGCTGTTTCATCCATAGAGGGCGGTTTCTCTCCCTTGGTATCAGCATCTGGTGCAGAACCTCCTTCCTGGGTATCAGCATCCTCTGCAGGTGTAACGTTTTGGCTGTCAACGGCTGAACCTTTTTCTTTTTGTACTGACTTAGATTTCTGCTTGGGAGGGGCAATGACATTTTGTACATCAAGAGTGAGCTCCTTGACAACAGAGAAACCTGAAAAGAAAGTATGAACGATTCATCCACGGCAGTCACCACAAATAAGGTAATGCAATAAGGCATAAAAAATCATTAAATGCCTAATATAAACTCCTCAGGCATACCTTCCTCTTCGAGTTTGTCCCAATCTTCATCCCAGTCAGCAGCACCCACTTGGATTCCAGGTTGCCAGCCTTTATTTGAAACATTGAGGCGAAAATGATCAAACAACGACAAAAAAGAAAAAAAACAAAATAGCAAAGAGATCAAATTAAAAAATCTTAAGGAGAACAAAGAAGAACATAGAGGAAGACTTATGAATGAAAATGAACGTGATGATGATTAGGGTTTCATTACATAAATGATGTAAAGTAATGAATATTAATTTTTAATGGTGATGTGAAAGTAACGAATAGTAAGACTTACGAATGCCAATAAACGTGATGATGATTAGGGTTTCTTTACGTAAATGGTGGTAATGTTAGATAAAAAGTATCATTGGATAAATTAGTTAAATGCAAGTTCAATAACCACTAAACAATTCATTAGTTGAAAAGAAAAGGATGATGATAATTGAAAGGTGAGTTTTTCTTCCACTTACAAATGCAACTAGATGTTTTATTGTCAGAGGCATGATTAGAATGGTTGATAGTGTTGAGTATCAAATTGAGTTTTTTATTAGAGAAAGAAGAAAGAAAAGGTGAGCTTACGATATCCATGACTAAATTCCAATCCGTTTATAATGTAACCAAAACTGAATATTCTGTAAGAAAATTTACATTCACTTATTTCTCGTAGTTAATCGTAGTTAAGATATCAAATAAGCTTAAAAGAAGTACATGCTCCCAAAATTTTGTAATTAAAGTTACATGAGGTAATATGACTAACTAGTTCCCGATAATGAAGGGTAAATTACTTTTTGTTTTGAATGCAAATCATTCACAACCAAGACATCTTGATTGCCAGAAAACTTAAAATTGGCAGAGGACTAAATAATACAGTACAAGAAACTTACCAAACGGAAGTTCCGTCAGAGTTATTGGTTTTGCACGCAAACCATAACTCTTGCAGCGTTCATTGAGAACTTTCACCAACTCTTCAATATCTGACTGAATACGATCAGCACGAGCCTGATATTTGGAATATAGAAACGACATTAGATGAGTTCCTGCAGGGTTCTATTGGCCCAGAAAACTATATTTACCTGAAGAACACCATCTTCACTGATATCTTGTTCCATCTTTACAATCGTGTGATACAGTTCCATCTTCTTTTCCTAAACCAGAAAACAACAGCATCCAATATAATTAGTTTCTGAATGCATATCATAATTGAAATTGCTTCTCACAATCTGATTTACAAACAGTATTGAACACCTGTATATCACGGAATGTAGCTTCTTCAACGGTTAATCTGGAGGCTACATCACCAGATTGTTTATATTTCTCTTCATATTTCTTGGCAAGGGACTCTACCTGTTAGAATCAAAACCTTCGTTGAATTCACTGTAATCATTTAATTTAAACACAGATGAACTGCACGTTATTCCATCAAATAGATACCTCACGTTTCTCTGAAGACACTCTTTCAGATATTTCATTCAACCGATTGTCACATCTGCTCTTGTACAAAATCTTGTTGAGAGGAGAAAAAAAAAAATCAAGAAAAAACAGCTGGGTAATTGGATGTTCCCAAAGGAACAAAAGCAGTAGGGTAATCAAGCGTTGTAACTGTAAAGCACCTGTCATATACAACTAACAAGTACACAACTGTACGACGTATTAAGAATTGAAAGACGAATTTTAAAGAAAAAGAATGAGGGATGTCCTCCATCACCAAAACACAAAACCAGTGTAATGACTCGGGACTTTAAAACGCTTTCAGTGGTAATGATGTAAAACATAATGCCTGAATTATCTGAAAATAAAAAGTATCTTACAAAGAATGTTGATGTATTATGAACTAAATCCATCTTCAATGAATGTATACGGTACAAAAGCAATCTTTAGCAAAAGCATAACAATAGTTGGTACTTGCAAAAACATAAACCTTTCACTCGAGCATATGATAGCTGCTCAGTTACATTTCCAGTATTTTATTATGTATCATAAAAAACAAAAACTTTTAATTCATTGAATGAAAATAAATACAAGGAAAAAGACTGTGAAATTCCTTGCTTGTGTTAAGTATTAGGGGCGTCACTCAACATCAGAACCATCATCTTTCCAAAACTTTTCGACCACACTCCATTGCATTCCATATATAAGCATAACCATGAATATCTCATAGCTAAAAGAAAAAAAAAAGCATAAAACAATTCTTTAATACTTACAAGTTCCTGCATTTTAGTACGATAATACTCGATTTTCTGTCTAGAGTCCAAAATTTCTTTCTCCAGTTCTTCAACCTTCATTGAATAAAACAATATATGTCAGAAACATGAGTGACAGACAAATCAAAGTATTTGATATTAGAGCAAATGATGATATTGCTTAATTTGTAATAATGTGAGAATCTTAATCCACATGATAGCTATTACCATAAACTTCCATCGAAACTTTCTACTACACGAGAAAAGACAGAAAAGAAAAAAAGACAAGGGAGAAAAACAACCAGCTTCAAGTTGTCCAATCCACGAACCTAATTTCAATAAATAGAAAAAAAAAAAAAAAAAAACATCTATGCATAAAAAGTGAGGTGTTTTATTTGTCATTTCATGATAACCCGGAACAAATCTAACCAAGACCACAACTATGTCCATATCTGAGGATAGAACAAAAATAAGACATATAAGGAAGTAAATGAGGTGCCTTTTTCTCAGCATCTTCTGCTTCTTGGAACTTTGAGTTGAGGGAGTTCTGCTCTTCTGTACTGAGTTGACTAACAAGATTTTTATCCAGCACAGGAACCTTTGATTTAGGTTGATTGGTCTGTGGCTCATCCCCAACCGGGAGGGCAGCAGAAGGTATAGGCGGACGTACTCCAATTGTAGAAGCTCCATGAAGATTACCAGGCCCAGGAACCCCTTGGTGCTGTTGGTGACCTTTTTAATAAAAATTAAAAAAAAAGAAGTTAATATTGAGGAAAATATTGTCCCATCTAGAGGTGTCCAACAAATTTCAAAAGGCCATGAAGTGACTCGTCATAGAGATTACCAGCTGTCGTTCTCCAAGCTGCATTGCTATGGTTAGATGCAGCTGGAGTCACAGGATGACCATTGCTGGGAAAATCAAACATGATGGTGCTAGGAAGCATAGCAGGAAGAACATGTCCTTCCCTATGCCGCTCCAACAAATAAAGTGCGATACAGAACTCCCTGACAGAAAGCATGCTATCATTATCTTGATCGGATAAGTCCCACACTTGCATTAAAACCTCTGACAGATGTCAACAATAATATACACGTGAGAATATCATTATCAACCAAGAAAACAAAATAACATAAATTTATCGAACAAACAAACAGCCATTCAATGGAGAAAGATAGAGATTCTATACTAACCATCAATGAAACAATTCTAATTTTTCAAGCTTCTAGAGAAAGAAAGATTTGGCGTAGTACTAACCTCATAGTAACTAAAGCAAGTTCGGGAAATTGAAAAAAAAAAAAAAAAAAAAATTAACATTCCGCATGAAAATAAAATTGTTTCTTATCCAAGAGTATTCTACGTTAAAATAAAAGGTCAAAGGGTATTCCTCTCTCCTACATCCAATGGTACAAAATTTTCAGCCAGATTGTTCCAACTTTCTTGAATAATTTCTCCACCATTAGACTACTCAAAGATAATTCTTGAGTATCACACGAAGTAATCCAAAACTGGAAGCTACATTCAACTTCGTGTTTGAATGTGCTTATAAGTCCACTAAACAGTCTGAACTTGTTCATGACAGACTCAAATCAAAATAAGAATCAGGAGTGATGATAAATAGGACGTGAAAAAAGAACTCAGCAATTTTGCAAATTTTAAAATGAAAAAGTAAAACTCTACTCTAAAGGGATTTATACCTCTTGGCAGCCTCCAACTCAAGAACAAGTTGCGTGCTTCTTGACCGGTAATTTTTCCATCTCTATCTTTATCCACCTCAACAAAAACTTTGGTATACTTCTGCACATCAGTCTGTGTCATTCTAGGCCAAGGGCGCTGAGACTGTCCAGAAACAGAGTTGTGCAATCCTGTTGATAATCCAGAGGAAGCAGGTTGCAATATGCTCTGTTGATTGGGCTTCCCATGTGGCTCGTTCTGTAGGGCCTGATTAGCGAGAGGCAGTTTCATAGAAGAATTCTGCAAAGAATCAAGGGAAGTTGCTCTAACTATTGGTTGTGTAACAGAAGACACAGGAACAGTGACTGATGAGGAAGTCTTATTGCCAGCAGGGACATCTTGTTTTGAAGAAACTGGGGTTGCAGGAAAGGCATCTCTTCCAAAATAAGACCCAGAAGCAGTCCCATTTCCAGTAATACCTTGCACTTTACTCTCCACAGGTGATGATGCAGCAGGCATTACTCCAGGAGCAGACTGAGGCCTTTGGGGTTGAGAAGTTGTTAGTCCAGCACTTGATTGGCCAAATCCGACCTGCATTCCAACAGGACTGACTCCTCTGTTCGGAGGTTGCGAGGGTGTCCCCTGAATTCCACTGGCACGTTCACTAACCCAATCATTTGAGATGATTGAATTTGTTGGAAGTGTCCCCGAGACAGTGCCAACTCCTGAAAATCCCTGCGCTGGACGGAAAGCAGAATTTGAAGTTGCCAACGGAGGCCTAACTAACTGACTCTCTCTAGAAGAAACCAGCGGAACATTCGTAGTGATGTTTCGTGGAACCTGTAATTCCAACCCAGAACTTTGGGAGGGCGTAGGAGCACCAATGCCACTCAGAGGTGTAGATACTGGTGCAGTAGAATTGAACTGAGGTGCAGGCTGGGTATTGAAATTTATTTGTGGTGCTGGTATTTTGGATGCAGCTGGGCTAAACAACGCTGCTTTCACAATATCAGGAGTTAATTCCCTCTTACTCTGTGCTACGGTGACCAGCCTAAGGGCATTATAAAACTCCGCCCGACCAAGGAAGCCAATCTGTCTAGGGTCTGAAAGCGCCCAAATCTACAGATAGATCAACAAAACAGTAACAAATAGAACAAGAGCTGAAGCCAAATAATCAAGATACATGAGTAAAAGTTATCAAAGATTCTCGGACTAACAAAACCAATAGGTATCAAAATTGCAATTCCAGCCTCTAAGAGAAGAAAGACCAACAGACCTGATTCAAATCTCAGTCATACTCAACCCAATCAAACAGCAATTAAAAACCCACCACGCAGAGTGCAAAATTACACAAACCCAGAAGAAAAAAGAACAAAGAAAAAGGAGGAGCGATGGAGTTACCTGAAAAAGAACCGGTTTGGGCAATCCAGAGCCTTGAAAGAAGGAAACCGCTTCAGCGCCACTAATTCGACCATCGCGATCCAAATCGGCACGTCGAAAGTAGGCATCGAAGAGATCCACGTTCGGCGCTGGGTTCTGCGCCGATGCCATTGCTGAATTCAAAATCTGCAACTCTTGGATCGGAGCAACGAGCCAACGGAATCACGGCACACGCGCATGAGAAATCAAAACAGATCAAAACACATGGATTGAGCACATATCCTAAGAACCCTAAGGGAACGAAATCGAGTGGTTGGAACGACCCTCCCAACCAATTCAGAGAAAAATCATTCAAACTAAAAAGAAAAATGGAAATTGAAATGGGATAAACACCGACGCGCAAGCAGGGTGGGAGATGGGGGAGGGGCGAGGTTTCTGTCGCTGAGAGAAAATAAAATAAAAAATAAAAAATAAAAAAAGACTCAGACCCTTTTGATTTCTCCGCTTCAGAACTGATCCGGATTTGTTGATCTTATTTACAAAACTGCCATTTTTCTTTTCCTTTTTACATATAATTATAACATCAATTAATTCTATTTTCTTTACAATTCAATGGGGATCACACGTATTAAAATATCGATTATTATTAAAAGAAAAATCGATAGTTCAATCTCCCCCTAAAAAAAACAACAAAAATATCTATCGAGATCGTCACGAGCATACTTTAATTGGTCAAATAATTATTAATTTTTCAAAATTCGATCTTTAGGCGAAAATAAAACGGTCGTGTATATTTTCACGTTAATTCATTAAATTTAAATTGTTAAAAAAAATCGAATTAAAAATAAAAAGAATTTATATATCATCATTTATTTGAAATTTTTTGGATGGTAAAATCTGAATATTTAAGGTTTCATTGGATAATTATTTGGTTTTTATTTTATTTATTTTTATTATTATTATTATTTTGCTTATTGTCTTACAATTTATTGGATAATTTTCTTACAATTTATATAATATTATTTTGCTTTTTTTTATTTTTTATTTTCTTACAATTTCATATATTTGAAATTTTATTTTTCCAATAATTCAAAACTAAATTACTTTTAAACACGAGTTAGTGTCACAATTCCAAAACTACCCTTTAAAAAGCTAATGTAGAGGCCCAATTTTAGGCCCATTTTAGTTTGTACAGATACAAGCTACCTTCATTAGTGGGCCCATGTCAAAGCCCAAAAACACTCTTGAGCAGCGGATTCGACACGTGGCGCAATTTAATTGGTCAGAATTAGATAAAAGAATTTGCTTCCGAAAAAACGCTCTCTCTTCCTAACTCGAATTTTAAAAATATAGTTTTTTATATTTAAAATTAGTTTATAATTCGTCTTTTAAAATTTAAAATAGTTTAAACTTACTTTTATTAGTGTTTTTAAAATCAAAACGAGATTTTGAAAACAAAATATATATATATATATATATTATTATTATTATTTGTTTAAGAAATGTAATAAAAGGGTTAGTTGTAAAAAATCTATAAATTAAATATAAAATAAATTTATATGGATAAAGTTGTAATTTAAACTTTCGATATAATTTATTTTCAATGGAATTAGAGTAAAGATTCCTTACATATAAATATAATAATATTTCATATAAAAAAATTATATAATAATTAACCAAATCGATAAAAACTAAATTTATTTATTTTTTAAATGATTAGACGAAAACATGTTATTGTTATTATTATCTTGAAATAATAGTTACTAAATTGATTAAATATTTAAAATTTCAAAATTGACGTTAAAATTTTGTCTAAATTATTGAGGATAACTAATAAATTGGTATTAAATAAGCTTGTTTGTTCAAAATAGGAAAATCTCAAATAATCTACAAATTTAACAAATATTTGGAGTATTTTATTTGAAATAAAGAATAAATAAATATGTGAAAATTAGAATATTTGGAGTATTTTTGAGTGTTTTTCAAGTTTCGAATTAGAATTTAAAAATAAAAGAGATTTTTCAAATAGTTTATTTATTTATTTTAAATTTCACTATAAATTAAAAAGAAAAAGAAGATACGTGGATAATAGATATTAATTATTAAAAATTATAATAGTAACAAACAAAATTTTAAAAAATAAAATAATTATTAACAAAAGTTAATAATAGATGTTAAATTATTTATTTTCGTTCCATATAAATTGACCTCTACCATTACTAAAATATTTTAATTTTAATTATAAATAAGTTAACTAAACTAAAAATATAATTTAAAAAATAAAAAGTAACGTACAAAATTAAAATTAATTTCATATAACAAAAAAATTATATATATATATATATATATATATATATATATATATATATATATATATATATATAAACATTTTAATTTAAATAGTACCTCACTACTATTGGCAAACCGATTAATACGAAATGATTCTTAATATCTTTTATATATTTTTTATTTGGCTTACGTCAGCTCGAAGGTTTTACCCATATACCTAAAATCGAACTGATTCAGTTCGGGTTCAGAAAAATGAACTCAACCCTACTCGAAATGTTAATCCAACCCAACCCTTATAGTTCAGGTTGGGTTGGTCCGGATTATCGAGTTGAATGTCCACCCCTAATATTTACCCTTATACTTTATATTGATATATATATAATTAATCATTTTTTTTCACGAAAATATCTATCGATATCTACATTTTCACNTATAAACATTTTAATTTAAAAAAAAAATAAATAAATATGTGAAAATCTCCATAAACTATTTGGATTATAGTTTTTAGTTTTTGCTTCTTTTTTTTTTTTTTGGAGTGTTTTTCAAGATTCGAATTAAAATTTAAAAATAAAAAAAGTTTTTCAAATATTTTATTTATTTATTTTAAATTTCAAAAAATATATATATATACATAAAATTATTCTGTAAGTTTTTCAAAAAATATATATATATACATAAAATTATTCTGTAAGTTTTTCAAAAAATATATATATATACATAAAATTATTCTGTAAGTTTTTCAAAAAATATATATATACACATATATATATAGATATATATAAACATTTTAATTTAAAAAAGGAAAAAAAACCAAACATATTTTTGTTTTGCAACAGTAGTTCAAACATGTACGATGTACGCATTCGTCCGAGAAGAAAGTCACGTGTCAAGCACGCGTTCCGCCTCCTCAAAGTTACAAAACTCCTTAAAAAAAAAACAATTAATTCACTGAAATAAATAAATATACCTAAATAACTTTTGAGTTTATTTCGAGTTATATATATAAAAGGTTTTATTTTTTATTTTTTAATAACAATAGTTGACGTCGAGAAAATTAAAAATAAAAATGAAATAATGACGGATGCAACTTTAAAAAAAATGAACAATTTTCTGCATATCGACGTAAAATTATTATGTAAGTATGATACTTGTCACATTTATCATTTATTTGGTAAAAATGATGATATTTGTATTTATAACTCGAAAATTAATAATTTTAAAAATAAAATTATTAAAAAATAAAATTTGAATAATTATAAATGAAAATAGAAATGAATTGATTGTTAAATTAAAAAGAGATTTTTGTTTAATAAAAAAGGCTCGTAATTAAAGTGAAATTAATAAAAAAGGATTTTAGTATATAAAAGAATTGTAATAATTGTAAAAAGAAATAATAATAATGAAAATGAAATAAAATAAAAAGAATAATACGGCTTTGTTTGTTTTATCTCTCCGGGGAGAGAGAGGAGAGAGACGCGGGTTGGGAGAGAGAGAAACAGAGGAGCAGCAAAAAATGGGTAAGGTAGTGGAGAGGAAGAAGAGGAAGAAAGGGCGGCCATCGCTGTTGGATCTTCAAAAGCGGAATCTCAAGGAGCAGCAAGAGCAAGAAGAGCAGGAGCAGGAGCAGAAGAAAAAGCATCAGCACCAAACCAAGCGAATCAATTCCTCCACCGCAATTTCCAACCCTAATTACGCTTCTCCAACTCCGCTGCGGCGATCTACTCGCCGGAATCCCAACCCCGACGGCCTCACTCCCGATGAGGTCGCTGATGACCACGAGGATGCCGATTACAACGACCAATTGGCTGAGAACCGCCGCGAGAGGAAACTCAAGCTCGTCGTCAGATTGCACTCCCCGAAATCTCCCGTCAATTCGTCGTCTCTCAATTCCTGTCGTTCCGATTCTAATGCGGACGTGGACGGTAATGCTGCGTCGATTAACAAAAAGCGGAAGATCGATACGATTGGGGAGGGATCTAGGATCCAACACTCCGAGAAGGTACTGCCATTTTGGGTGTTTTTGATTCGCTGCTTATTTTGGGGGGTTATCGTATTGCTTTCCCCCCTCTTTTCTGGCGGAGAAGTATTTGTTAAGGCGCCAAAGTTCTTGGGAGATTTGTACGTTTTTTTTTTTCAAATTGTGGGAGAGGGGAGAAAAATTCGTTGACGGTGTCTGAAAGAGATTCCTTGAATTTCGCACTTTTGAATTTTGTTGTTGGGTTTTCGAGTATCTCAGTCAAGGGTGGTTGACTTGGCCAATTTGAGATGGCTGGCTACACCGGATTTAATCTGCGGTGCAAATTCTTTTCTTCAGCATATTTAATTTTGATGATTTATTAGCATTTATCTTCCTTAAAAACGATATGATTTGACTGTCCTATTTTGAACAAAAAAAGTTCGGATTTGTCTTTTCCTTCCTTAATTATTTCTCAGGTGATAGTTGCGTTCTTTTTCGCAATCGTGGCACGCTGATTCCTAGTCCTGTTTACCTTTTTATTTGGTCCAGTCTGTTTTTCTGGAGCTCACCCATAATGGGAAAGTTATTTGTCGAATGTAACTGTTGGCGTTGGTTTATTCTTTTTGATGTTTCAGGATGAGAAGTCCATTTCTGCCACAAATCCCTCGGAAACCCTCCAAGGTTTTTGTCAATAATCACACGCCACTTCTTTGAAACCCATGTTTGCGAATGTTTTTCGTCATTATGAACATAATTACTTGCAGGGTCGCATATGGATTCGGCACCCTCGGCGCCTTTACCAGATAAGAAGCTTTTGGTTTTCATCCTCGACAGGCTTCAAAAGTGTGTTTTTTTTAGCTCATCTTTCTCTGTTTTTGACACTGTGTTTGTGCCTTTTATTTAATGGTGCTTTAATTCCAGGAAGGACATCTATGGTGTGTTTTCTGAACCAGTGGACCCCAACGAGGTTGGTTTTGGGAGTGATGACACATCAGCTGACATGCTTTGTCTTATCTTTACATTGATTTTACTTTAAAATTATTATTTGTAGCTTCCAGACTACCACGAAATTATAGAGCATCCGATGGATTTTGGGACTGTTCGGGAGAAGCTTACTTCTGGAGCTTATAGCAGCTTGGAACAGTTTGAAGTACGATCAGTCTTTATTGTTTTCTGCTTGGTTTAAATCGTTTTGGTCCACTTCATGATTGAAGTTATGCTAATCGAATTGCTTCTTTGTGAATATTCTTATTTATATTTGGCAAGTTGGAATAGAATAGGGTGATTCAATTGATATTTTGTTGGCATTCTGAATAGTGAAGCTTGCAAACATCCATCGCTCGTGATTTAATCATTGGAATACAGAGCTTTTTTTTTTCATTTTCCTTTGTGTTTATTTGGTTTGAAAATTGCATCTTCTTTTACATCCAAAATCTACCGACCATGTGGTCTATGGATCAATTTATATTAGTGAACAGGGATGCTTGATTCTGAACAAACTGGTTGTGGGAATTAGAATCCTTGTTCTAGAACTTGGTTCGAAATTTAGTAATGCTTATTTTGACGAGACTTCAATATGAGTATGATATAACATTTCATGAGGTTTCTTCTTTATTCTTTGCAATCTGTTCTACCCTCTATCTGTTGATCTTCCGTGGCCTATTTTCTTGAATTATCTTATATCCAATTATTTATTGCTATTCTCCACAGGTATACATATTGCTTAACGGTGTCGTATGTGCATCATATGTTCTTAAGTAAATGGTTATTTCTTTCAATTCAGACTTGTGTTATCTCCTTGGATATAGATTTACCCGTTTGTTTGTCGACCTTGAGTTTTAGCCCAACAGCCTTTTAAACGCTTTTCTAAATTTGTAAGAATTCTATCCTTAGCTTTGATTTAATGTTTTTTCTGTTTTCCCCCTGTAGAAAGACGTTCTCTTAATCAGTTCGAACGCAATGCAATATAATTCCTCAGATACTATATATTATCGGCAGGTTTGATTTTCACCGAACTTCTTTATTGTCATTTATGTTTTCACGTTGTACAATTCGCATATAATAGAAGTTATTATACTTTTGTCAGGCGCGTACCATACAAGAGTTGGCAAAAAAGAGTTTTAAGAACTTGAGACAAGATAGTGATGATAATGAACCAGAACCTAAAGTGGTGAGAAGGGGTAGACCACCGACTAAGAATTTAAAAAAACCATTGGGTAGACCTCCCTTGGAACGTGCTGGTTCGGAGTTTTCCCCAGATGCCACTCTTATTACTGGTGGTGAAAACACAAATCGGTCCAACGATTTGAGGAAAGGACTTCATCATTTTGAAAAGCCTGGTTTAGCTGATTTTTCTGGCAGATTCTCCTTCTCTTCCAATAGTGAAGCTGCATTTAATTTGTTTAACCAGAACAGATTTGATAGAAGCGAGGACATGACAGGTAAGAGATCTTAGTCAAGCATTTGTGTTCTTGTATCCAGCCGCTGGGTGCTACCAAGGTACAAATCTAAATTTTGGTTCATATATTCTTTTTTCCTGGCAGGTTCTGCACTGAGATTCAATTCAGTAAGACAGGGCAAAAAACCGATCGTCTCCGATGAGAATAGGCGTGACACATATAAGCAATTTCAAGCGGCAACTGCTTTACTGGAGCCCTCTGTGCTGAATACATTTGATAGAGAGAGGAAGGTTTTAATGCCAGTATGTATCTAACTTGATTACTGTTAACATCATCTTTTAAGTGCCATGCTTGGAATGACATAAGATCTAATACTGGATTTTTTAAATTGTAGCTTTTTTTTGTCAATGAAGATATAAATGCATGGTTGAGGATCGGTTTGCACTTAAATATTTACTGTTCTTATATATCTAATATTGCCTAAAACATGCTGCTATTTGGAGCCTATATAGACTTTTTGGTGGGATAACTTATTCTTTATGTGAATCAGGTTGGGCTTTTCTTGGAGCATGCTTATGCACGAAGCCTAGCTCGATTTGCTGCAGATCTTGGATCTGTTGCATGGAGAGTTACTTCTAAGAAAATTGAAAGAACTTTACCCGCAGGTTCGAGTTTTGGTCCTGGATGGGTTGTAGAAGATGATACCACACCAAAGAGGGTGTTTCTACCGCAAGCTGAACTCGGTCAAAAGTCGACATTGCATGAAAGTTTGGCTCCTAATGTAAAGCCTCTTGCTCCTGAACAAAAGACCGTTCGATCATCCGACAACTTCGAAGCTGATACGTCGTCTAAGATGCATGATCAGCCTTCTCATGTCCCCAGTTCAGATGGCTATTTACCCTCCAGGCCTCCCGCAGAGTTCTCTGCAGCTTCTTCATCGTCGCCGTCAAGTACTCGACAATCTTCAGAGCCCTGCAGGGGACAGGCGGAAACAGTTGAAGGATTAAATCCCAGTAGTGATTATAATGTATTGGAAAGTAGTATTCCAATCTCGAGGCCTTCGTTACAAAAACACGAGAATCTAACAATCTGCCATGGTATGAATGGATTCAATGGTGCTTATGGCTTTGATCTCTCTGCTCACAGGGGGAAACTAATAGGCGCGTCCGAGCCTGCTGGTGTAAAGCCTCAGTCATCATCTCAAATGCTCGAGATGATCTCGAGGACTAATGCTAATTTCATCCTTCCAGCAATGGCGACCAGACTGAATCTGAAAGAACCAAAATGTCCCGAAAACAATCTTGGTACAACAAACTCTTCCAGTTCATTGCTTAGGTCGGGGAACGAGACTCTTGTCGAAACACCATGGCGGCGGCGGCAGCCGCAGGGGCCATCACCAGCACCAGCCCCAGAAGAAACAGCAGTAACAACAACAACAACACTATACAAACCCGAATCCGTTCCCCCAGACCTGAACGTGAGATTTAAATCTCCAGGATCTCCTCCTAGCTCTAGTAAGGTGGACTCTGCTCACCCTGATTTAGTTTTACAGCTCTGAGGATTACTAATTATTAATTAATTTTCAACTTCTTGATTGATTAACCATAGAAATGGTGGGTTTGAGATCTGTTGCTTCTGGAGTAGAGACAAAGATGGAGACTTATCAACCCTACCAAATTGTGTTGTAAAAACAATAGAAGAGGGATTCTTGTACAGATTTATGTATCCTAATTTTTTAGGTTCAGGGGGGGAAAAAAAAAAGATAGGTGCCAATTTCTGTTCTTGGAGAAGTGTAGGAAGATTTTTTTTTTTTTTTTTTTTTTTTTTTTAAATTCACATATTTATATATATTGTTTATTTTCTGTTTCTCATCTTCAAATAATCTCAGGGAATGGCACGATTTGGTTGATCTTGTATGGTTTGTTGGTTGTGACATAGCCTGTTTGTTTGAGGATTGAATTATCGATTTTTAAGATGTTTATTAATGTCTTTATTACTTTAACTTTGTTCGAGTGGATAATAAGATTACTTAATGAAATACTATGGTAATAATGTATTTTATCGAGCTGCTTAATCATAAATATTATTATTTAAATAGAATCTCGGTTAGGAATTATAAGTAAATAAATTTTATTTGAATGATTTATACGTTTTTAAAATATTTGAACAATTAGGTAAACAAAACTGAGCATTGAATGAAGTGTTTTGTTACATTTGAAAAGTTGGATGAAAGAGACACTAAAGTTTTGAACTTTAGTGTTGAACGCCCTAACGTTATTTTTAGGTAACATAAAAAGATATGTTATTTACAATGTTATTCACGTTAATATACGACCGTTGATGTAAACAAAATTGATTTTGTGAGTAATCTGATAATTTTTCAGAAGCTAGCTTCACTACCTGACTCTTCCTTGTCGATAAGCCAGTCAGTAGTGGTCGGACACGAGACTTGTTTCTTTCTTTTATGTATAAATTTAAAAATTGAGAAATTTTATTTTTTAACATTTGTTTCTTTCTTTTAGGTATAAATTTAAGAATTAAAAAAAATATATTTAAATATTCAAATAAAAATATTTATGTGCATGACCTTTAAATTTATGTTCAAATAAAACTAAATCTAATTTATTTCTTCTACCTTTGTCTTCTTGTAGTTTATTATTATCATAAATGATATGTTTAAATTTCTTTCCTTTTAAAAATATTAATAAATTTTTAAATTTAATATTAAAAAAATAAATTAATCTATAAGGTATGGATGGACGAAGATAAGGGTATTCTGGTACTTTTAAAAAAATGTTAAAAAGTATTAATAAAACTTTTAATTTTTAAAAATCAATAATATATAATAATTATTTAAAATTAAGAAATTCCTTCTTTGCCCTCTCTTCATGATTAAAAATTATCGACAACTAATTAATTGTCTTTTGTTCTAAGGTAGAAATAGACATTTTATTTTGATTTTATTATTCTTATATTTATACTCGTGTCATATTTGTTTTAATAGCAAAGAATTATAATTAAACTATCATAAAATAATGAAAATAATATATATTTTTTAATTTTCTTTGTTAGGGGTACACGTGGCGAAGATCAATTTTACCCTTTTATTTTTCAAATAATAAAATATAGTCTCTCCGTTCCAAGTCTAAAACATATCCAAAACAATATTAGAAACTAAACATAAACATCTCAAAGCACAACTAAAAAAAAATAAAATAATAACGGTTTCTATCCCAAACTAATAATACATTTATTTTTTAATTATTTTAAAATTTTACCCATATTTTAAAACATTTTTAAATTTAAGAGCAACATTTAAATTTTTGAAAATTTAAGAATACTTTTTTTTAAGGTAAAATACAAAAATAAATTATATTTATATTATTTAAACCTTAAAAATCACACATATAACTTGTCCTTTTTTTTTCTTTATATTAAGTAAATAATTTTAAAATAAAAGAGTGGAAGGTTTCTGATTCACGACTTTCCAAAATATAAATAATATTTAATTAATTAAATTAGGCTAACGTTGACACATTATTTATTTTATTAAATTTAGCATTTAATGTCTGAATGTGAGAAGACAAAGTTGAGTAGGAAATCTTTTTAAATTATTATTTTTTAATAAATAGCTTCCTAAATATTATTTTATAATTCAATTCTCTATGGACAAACAATAATTGAATAAAAAATATATTAAAATAATTTTAAACTCAGCAATTTAAGGATTAAAACTACACTATTTTAATGGAAAAATAAAATGTAAATAAAAATGGTTAATATTTTTTTAAAATTATTAACCAAAATGGATATTTAAGAATAATTAGACATTTCAAGAATATTTCTTACTAATTTTGTATGAGTAATTTGGCTGTCATTTTAATTAAATTATAATTAAATTATGACGTGGGTGGCTTCATCTTGTCCGCTTATTCATAGATAAATAAATAAATAAATAAATATATATATATATATATATTATTAAATTTAATTTATTTAATACGACTCTCAAATTTAATGACCCATTTAATTAGTTTAAATAGAAAAAATGTCATGACTATATTAAAAAAAACATAGTAGGTTAGGACCTCACCATGGTGACGATTCTTAAGTGGCGCTCGTTCAATCACACGAGTATCAAGGTAGACAAGTGTCACAATACAACTAGATGCGACGTTGTATATGAGTAACGTTAGCTTGAAGTAGAGGCAAGGTCGAGCCTAAAAACTTGACCTAGCCATGACGCAAGTCAACTATATCTGTAAATGATTGAACATGCACGTACATTCGAAGTATGTGGTCGAATAAGCTTAGATCCTGCACGAATTATGTTTGGTTGGCGAAGGAGAAACTCACATAAGGTCCAAGGAAGCGGGGCGAAAAAATAGAAATGAGACTTGAGTTCCCTTGTAGCAACCTAAGCCCGCTGTTGGTAGATATTGTCTGCTTTTACTCGTTACGTATCACTGTCAGCCTCACAGTTTTAAAATGTGTCTATTACGAAGAGGGTTTAGTCTTACTCCTACCACGCACCGTTTTATGACTTGCTTTGATACTATTTGTAACAGCCCAAATTCACCACTATAAAATATTGTCCGGTTTGACTCATTACGTATCACTGTCAGCCTTACAGTTTTTAAATGCAGTCTGATGGTGAGAGATTTCCACACCGAGGAATGCCGGTTGAGATCTCACAATCCACCCTTTGGGCTCAGTGTCCTTGCTGGCACATCGCTCGGTGTCTAGCTTTGATATTATTTGTAACAGTTCAAGCCCACCACTCGTAGAGATTTCCACACCGAAGCTTTGACCCGTTACGTATAGCCGTCAATCTCATCGTACTTAATTTTCCTCTGCAAGTGAGAGAGGGATCTAATAATTTACCTCTCGAGTTCTCCTCTCCCATCGACTGTACGACTGCAAGACGTGGCCTCCAATAATGGCGGAAAACGGCTACCCCATATAAGACCTCGACCCCAACATCTCTACTTTTCAATTCTCCGTCCCCTTTCGTTATCTTTGAATTCAATTCTGCACATAGCTAGATAGATTGAAACCAAGCAACCATCATGCACGGCAGTTGACTATAAACAAACCGACAGATTTTCAGTCTGTTATCATCTTCTTCAGTTTCCACCAAATTTTCAGTTCTGCGACTCGTTCAATCTTCCTGGTAAAACCGTTCAATCTTCCTGGTAAAACCGTTCAATCTTCAATTAATCCCAATTTTTTCCACTCCCCTGTGTTTCCACCGCAATGGCCATTCATCGCTGCTGATATTTCCATCGTATTTGCCCTAAGATCCCCATTCTTCGGATTATATTTGTGACGTTGATCGAGAGGTTTCTGAATTAATTGGTCAAAACATGTACAGGTGGGGATTCGAGAGAAATGAAGCATTGACTAAGAAGTCTGGATTGCTTTTAGTTAATTTCATAAAGGCTTCCCTTAATCATCTTCTTCATCTTCTTCATTTTTGTGCTCCACAGGAAGAGATAGAGAGAGATAAATGGGGATTTGTTGGGGTTCTCCAGTTGATAATCATACCCCTACTACCACTGGACATCTCAGTTCAGGTAATTCATCAGATTTTCTCTTATATCACTTCATTATCTTGAACTTTGTTGCTGAAATTTAGTTCTATTTCAAAGTTTGTGCTTAAAATCCGCAAGTTTTGCCCTAATAATTTCCCCCTTTAGAATTGGAGTTCTTTGATCGGCTATTTGTTTATCTGTTTGGAGTTTCCTAGCTTACTTTTGAATCTCTGGCTGGTTTTTCCTTTGAATTTTGATCTGAGGCTAAGAGCTACGAGCAGATATTTCTATAAAGGATATAATTGATAACTCTAAGCTCCAGATTATCCCTTTCTTGCCATAGATCCGGTGGGAAAAGTGTTACTAAATTTATACGGTCGAGTTCATATATGATTATAGGTCAAACAAAAACAAAATACAAAATAATTTTTCTTGGTAGGTGTGATCCACGAGACATAAATCAAATTTTTCGTAATTGTTAAAATATCATCATTAGCTCAATAGGGTTAAAACTCAATAATTGTATGATATTTATTTTCGGAAAATGATTCAAGTATTTTGGGAATAAAAGTCAGAGAAATTTTAGGAATAAATTGTCTAGGATCTACTATACATACCCCTTCACCCTACCTAGATTTTCATCCCAAGAAATACAAAGCACCAAGTGCAGTAGTATTCTACAAATTGTCTTATAATCTCTTATCGATTGATGTTAATAAAAAGTGCGAGTGTTTCCCACAAAGAGTTGTGTTCAACAATAACGATGTATTGTTTATGATTTAAATCTGTGGCTATAACAGTGGTATCCCAGGCAACAGCATCGACCGTGAGCAACATCTCGAAGAACAGTCAGTTCTCGGCAGCAAGTGGAGATGAAGCTTGTCTACATGGCCAGATTTTGCTCTCTCCAAACTTGAGGGAGCATAGCTTGGCAGAGCTCAGAGCTGCAACCAAAAACTTCAGAGCCGATGCATTGCTTGGTGAAGGAGGCTTCGGCAAGGTTTATAAAGGTTGGCTTGAAGAGAAGGGCCATGGAAGGAAGGGAAATCCGATGGTTATTGCGGTCAAAAAGTTGAAATCTGATAGCTTACAAGGAATTGAGGAGTGGCAGGTAACTTTGCCTTAGGATGAGCTAAGCCTCTTTGGGTGAACCATTGACATATAATGACCTTGTCTGGTTGGTTGTGCAGTCAGAAGTGGGCTTCTTGGGAAGCCTTTCTCACCCAAACTTAGTGAAGCTGTTGGGTTACTGTTGGGAAGATCATGAGTTGCTTCTTACTTATGAGTTCATGCAAAAAGGAAGCTTGGAGAATCATCTATTTGGAAGTAAGGAAACTAATGGATGATATTATGCTATAATTGTTAGTGTTCTCATCTTTCTCTGAAATGCAGGGGGCTCAGCAGTTACACCATTAGAATGGGATACTCGGCTTAAGATCGCCATTGGTGCAGCCCAAGGGCTGGCCTTCTTGCATGCATCGGATAATCAAGTAATTTATAGAGATTTCAAGGCTTCTAATATTCTGCTTGATGGGGTAAAGTTCTGTTTATTATGAGCCTTTTAGTTATTTTTGAACTTTTGTCGACGACGTTTGTAACAGTCCAAGCCCACCGTTAAAAGATATTGTTTTTTTTTGGGCTTTTCTTTCCGGGCTTCCGCTTATAGTTTTTAAAACGTGTCTACTAGAGAGAGGTTTCCACACCCTTATATATAATGTTTCATTCTACTCTACAACCGATGTGGGATCTCACAATGGGACGATGGGCCCCGAAAGAAGGTGGATTGTGAGATCCCACATCGGTTGGAGAGGGGAGTGGAGCATTCTTTATAAGAGTGTGAAAACCTCTCCCTAGTAGACGTGTTATAAAAACTTTGAGGGAAAGCCCGGAAGGGGAAACTCAAAGAGAACAATATCTACTAGCGGTGGACTTGGGCTATTACAAATGTTACAACCTTTCTTGTGATCGTCGTCTCCTAACCGAATCTGCCTTTACCTGCAGTCATATACAGCAAAGTTATCTGACTTTGGCTTGGCAAAATTGGGTCCTTCAGAAAGTAAATCTCATCTGACGACTCGAGTTATGGGCACTCATGGTTATGCTGCTCCCGAGTACGTTACCACGGGTAGGATAAAAACCTTTCCATATTGACTGTCTAAGAACTGGAGCCTGTTATCACCTAAGAGATTTCATGTTAACGTTTGTTTATGACACAGGACATCTGTACGTTAAGAGTGACGTATATGGCTTTGGAGTTGTATTGATTGAGATATTGACTGGTTTACGTGCTCTTGATGAAAACCGTCCAACCGGGCAAGAAAACCTGGTGGATTGGATAAAACCTTACTTATCAGAGAGGAGGAAGCTGAAAAACGTGATGGACTTTCGGTTGGAAGGAAAATATCCATCCAGATCCGCATTCCAAGTGGCTCAGCTGGCTCTACAATGTATTGAGAAAGAACAGAAAAACCGACCACCAATGAAAGACGTCGTCGAGACCTTAGAACAGATCAAAACGAATGAGAAACCAATCGAGCCTAGAACCCGTGCTTCCCGTCTGGCATCAAACTGCAATGCTCATCAGCCTCTTCACCATAATTCTCCAATTTACGTGAAGCAATATGGAGGAATCCATGCTTATCAAACAACACCACCCAGGTTGAGATAGATTTCAGCTGTTCTTCATTTCTTCATGCACGTTTCTTATAGAATGTTAGAATGAAGTTTGTTCTCTGTGCTGTAAGGATGTAGATAAGTACTAAGGTTGTGGATGTTGGGAATTAGGATAGCCTCAGCTGCTCCTATTTTCTGTGATATGTTAGCTTAATTATTTTGATTCGAACCAAATACGGTGGAGAGTAGCTAATTTATGTATAGCTCAATTGAATAATGCATATATCCTCGATTTGATCGAGTGGCCAAAATTTGAATTATTCTTGATATAGCATGAAGAGCGTTTAGGCACGTCTTTCGTTATAAAATCTCGTCCCATAATTGGATTATTTTTAGTATAGTATGTACCTAAGTTAAAATTTTAATAATCTATTAAATATTTTATAGAACATAAAAATCATTTAAAAAAACTAATAAATGGTTTGATTCTAATAATATTATCATCTTCCTCCCGCGCGTTCCCACTGAAATTGCAAAACGGAGCAGAATCAGCAGACACGCGCGAGAGCTTGTAAATGGAACGAGCAGCCATGCTCTCTAAAGCCGTTTACCTGAATTCCAAAAGCCCCGAATTAGCATGGCTTCTCTTCAAGCGAGTTCTTTCTTCCCCCATCTCTGCCTCCTCTTCCTTCTTCGAAACCTCCCTTCAATCTATACCTCTTATTGCCCGCATCCTCACCACTGCAAAAATGCACCCACAGATCGATCACCTTTATCAACTCCTCTTGTCGCAGCACCGGGATTTTGCTCATCCATCTGGATTTGCACTCGTTCGAGCGTTGGCTGATTTGGGTCTCTTCGAAAATGCCATTTCTCAGTTTCGATCGCTTCGAGACAGGTTTCCTAATGACCCTCCAGATATTTCTTTCTATAATTTTCTGTTACGATGCTCTTTGAAGGAGAGTCGGGTTGATTTTGTGATTTGGCTTTATAAGGATATGGTTTTTGCGGGAGTTAACCCACAGACTTATACTTTTAATCTGTTGATACGTGCGCTTTGTGAAATGGGGTACTTGGAGAATGCACGGGAAGTGTTTGATAAAATGTCTGAAAAAGGGTGTAACCCTAATGAGTTTAGTCTTGGACTTTTGGTTCGTGGGTATTGTAGAGCGGGGCTCCATTATCGAGGTATTGAACTTTTGGACGAGATGAGGAGCTCTGGTGCTGTTCCCAATAGGGTTGCATACAATACTGTGATATCTTCTCTTTGTGGAGAAGGTCAGACTGGGGAGGCTGAGAAATTGGTGGAAAGGATGAGAGAGGTTGGTCTTTCTCCAGATATTGTAACTTTCAATTGCAGAATTGCTGCCCTCTGTAAATCCGGGCAAATTTTAGAAGCTTCCAGAATTTTTAGAGATATGCAAATAGATGAAGAGTTAGGGTTACCTCAGCCTAATACAATAACATATAATTTAATGCTAGAAGGATTTTGTAATGAGGGAATGTTCGAGGAATCCAAGGCTCTCTTTGATTCTATGAAAAAATCTGAAACTCATTTGACCATGGAGAGCTATAACATATGGTTGCTAGGTTTGGTTAGAAGTGGAAAGCTCCTTGAAGCTCGTTTAATTCTTAATGAAATGGTAGAAAAGAGTATAAAACCCAATCTTTACTCTTATAACATTTTGATATATGGACTTTGTAAATATGGAATGTTTTCTGATGCAAGATCTATAATAGGTCTAATGAGAGATAGTGGTGTAGCTCCAGATACTGTATCTTATAGTACCTTACTGCATGGATACTGCTGTAGAGGAAAGATACTTGAATCCAATTATGTTCTTCGCGAAATGATACAGGTTGGTTGTTTTCCCAATATGTATACTTGTAATATCCTGCTTCACAGCCTGTGGAAAGAGGGAAAAGCATCAGAGGCTGAAGAGTTGCTACAAAAGATGAATGAAAGAGGTTATGGTTTGGATAATGTAACTTGTAATACAGTGATTAATGGCCTCTGTAAATCTGGGAATCTGGACAAAGCTATTGAAATAGTGAGTGGCATGTGGACCCATGGAAGCGCTTCTCTTGGTAATCTTGGAAACTCTTTTATTTGTCTTTTTGATATTGGCAATAATGGGATGAAGTGTTTACCTGACTCGATCACATATGCAACCATAATAAGTTGGTTATGTAAGGCGGGGCGGGTTGACGAAGCAAAAAAGAAGCTTCTGGAGATGATTGGGAAAAAGCTATCTCCTGATTCACTAATATTTGATACTTTCATACATAGTTACTGTAAACAAGGAAAGTTGTCATCTGCTTTTAGAGTACTCAAGGAAATGGAGAAAAAAGGGTGCAACAAGAGCCTTCGAACGTATAATTCATTGATCCAGGGTTTAAGTTCTAAAAATCAAATATTTGAAATATATGGGTTGATGGAAGAGATGAAAGAAAAAGGGATTTTTCCCAATGTTTACACTTATAATAACATTATTAGCTGCCTATCTGAAGGTGGGAAACTGAAAGATGCCACCAGTCTTTTGGATGAAATGCTGCAGAAGGGGATATCTCCTAATATATATACGTTTAGGATTCTGATTGGAGCTTTCTTTAAGGCTTGTGACTTTGGAGCGGCTCAAGAGTTATTTGAGATAGCTTTAAGCCTATGTGGCCACAAGGAATCCTTGTATAGTTTTATGTTCAATGAGCTATTAACTGGAGGTGAAACATCCAAGGCTAAAGAGCTTTTTGAAGCTGCATTAGATAGATCTCTAGCCTTGAAAAATTTTCTTTACAGGGACCTAATTGAAAGGCTTTGCAAGGACGGAAAGTTAGATGATGCTAGTTTCATTCTTCATAAGATGATGGATAAACAGTATAGGTTTGACCCTGCATCATTCATGTCAGTGATTGATGGATTAGGTAAAAGTGGGAACAAGCATGCAGCCGATGAATTTGCAGAAAAGATGATGGAAATGGCTTCAGAAACTGATATCAACCAACATGAGAATAAGATTATCCGAGGAAGATCAAATAATGATGATGAAAGAGATTGGCACAAGATAGTTCACAGGTATGATTTTTTTTCCAAATATATTTGATATGGTTCTTATTTATCTCCATGCTGCTTAATCGAGTATTTGGTTGAGAACATTAGTTATCTGACATTATTCAAATTCAACTGAAGTGTTTCCTGATTTCCTGTTGTTCATAATGTATAGTAAGAGGAATATAAGTTACTTGGTGGTAATTTTAAATTTTAAATATTTATTACGTATTTTGGTCCAAATATTGAATGAGTTCATCGATAGGATTTTAGCAACCATTTTCATTACCCTTAAGATTCTTGCAACTTGTTTATCCTAATAATCCAGAAGTGTTTGCATAAAACTTTTGAAGAATCATAAGTATATACTTTTTCCCTGCATGATGTATATTTTTAGGCAGTTCTTTTTTTCCATGGAAACACGTACGTTGATCTTTTGAGGGTCTTTTAGTGTCACAACCTTAACTATAGCGATAAATCCCTCTGGAGACGACCTCTAGTAGTAGATTGTAATTTCCAGTTATCAAATCAGTTGAACATTTGGCCAAGGATAGTTAAAATAGTGAGGCTATTCATTAAATTAATTTCTTTTGTATGGTCAATGAATGTTTAATTTTATGTTCCATGTGTGTCATGTGCTTGGCTTGGACCTGCACAACTTCAACAGAAACGATGGCAGTGGGATTGCACAGAAGACTCTTAAGCGTGTGTTGAAAGGATGGGGTCAAGGAAGTATATCAACTTCGCAGCCACAGAAATTTAGTACACATGATTGCTGGGATGGTGTTGCTTAAAGCTTTTAAAGTTCTTGAGGAACAGGCAAATATGGGAATATGCTCAAACCTGCTGACGCATCAAATCTTCAAGTCAGGGTGCTTAAGGACATCAGTACATCAGGTAGAGCCATTTTTTCTGGATTTTTTAAACTCAGTACCGTAACAATGAGAAGATAGATAGAGAACGATGAACTTTTTTCTATGCAAATAATGTAGTTGTTTAGGTTCTGCATGATTAATAATTTCCAATTATTCTTTAATATTTAATCAAGGGTTTACCTATATTAGACTTGAATTGGAGGTGGGTTCAAACTTCTAATTGTAGTGAAAGAACTAGGAATGAATGAGATTCATTTCGCTATAATGGCTGATTGATAGTTTTAGTCTGTTATATACATTTTCAAGCGATAATGCAATTTTTATTCATAGATACCATTTGATAGAGAAGAAAAGGAATAATAAGTATACAAGCACTGAGTTTTTGTATGCATTATGGAAAGTGGAAACTCGAGCACCATTTGGTAGCTTTACTCTGTCAGCTTGGAGAGCTATTAGATAGTAGACTGGAAATAATTTTTTCCACGTTCAAATGATTTGGAATGCTTACAAGTTTTAAACTCGAGCACATCTGTTATGTTATTTCTAGATCTTATAGCCTAGTACAATGGAATATGGAAGGGAGCATCAAACTAAGAAACGGTGAGCAAGCTACATTTCTTTTTTCATTTACACTTGTAAATTTTTTTGAGTTGGTAGACTTTGGAACTTCACCAAATATGAAACGGAGCATGAAAGAAATATAAATGCACTGTGGCCATCACGTTGTTATGCGTTGACATGTAAAATATTACATTAATATCACCGTATGCACTTCACAAAATACGGTATTCATTATGAAATGTTGTTCAGACAAGTAAATTTATGATTTTTGGAGGTGGGGAATGGTTTAAATTCACATAGAACCACTGGCCTTTCATGTAATCCCTCAACTGGGTAGATCAAAAGTTCGTTCTTATGTGACACGTACCTAGCCTGAAATTTTTACAAGCATCCCAATAAATTATATTTATTTTCTCTACTATGTCATTTATCTTCTAAAAAGGATAAAAGTGACTCTTTTTCTGCTACAAAAAGTGACTTTGGTGTTAGTTTAGTCTTCAGCTGAGTATCCCACCACTAGCAACTGCTAAGTTATGAAAAACAACTGATAAGTTCTCTAAAATAGTAAGTGTGATGGTTTCAGGATGGACTGCTACTGCCAAAGAAGCTTTTGCTAAAGTCTGCTGAGGAATCCATTAGAGGCAGATTTGACAGTTTCACATGTCAGTAGAACTGATTCCCCATCGTTGTCGACATACTTGATATCGACTCATGTAATATTGTCTAGCAAACCCCGAAGACCCCAATTTTGGTGCATGAACCTGATTTTTTCTTCACCAAAAGTGGCTTTCACTTTCAGTGCACCCCCATCTCGTGTTCGGGCGCCATGTAAGGGAGGTAACTATCAGGATGTTCGCTAAATGATAGGGGCTGTGAGATCTTAGAGTCTTTGGTTCCTCCTGACATGGTCGTACAATTCTGCTTCAATGCACGTTTTATTTAGCATTCCAACACGCTCTTCTGACTGCCTGGACCAGAAGTCTGACTACATGAAGAGGTTCGGGATATCGCAGGGGATCCATGGCTGAATGAGCCACTTTCAGCTTGATGGTTGATTTGCTCATGATGGTCACTCATCTTCATGGATGAATAATGGCCAGTCTCAGTAAAACTGGGAGAGTTCAACTGTGGGAAGCTTTTATAGAAAGGCCCATTCTGTATTGCACCATCAGCATGTTCAACCATGTCGATCACGAGCTGGAGTTTCCTTGGAGAATGGCCTACGTTCTTGATCGTTTGGGAAGCCCACCTTGTTATCCATGTTGCCTCCATATCATTTTCAAAGTAGTTGGACAAACTGCACAAACAGGAAGTTCGAGCAGACAATGGCCAGGTAGCTAGTACATTATTACTCGATTGAAAAAAAAAACTTAGAAAGAATTCTAGTGGACTCATACAATAAAAGTTGTAAATATATATATATTGTTCATATTCAAACTACTTTTTTCTGTTTAACCAGGCTATTCTCTTCTAAATCAAGGCATCAGTGGTACTGCAATCGATGTCTAGCATGGGACAAAAGCATCTCAATGGTGAAGGTAAACTTATTCAACTGATCATCAGCAAAATATTAAACGAGAAACTAGACTCTTGAATTATAATAATTATTTTTTTTTTAAAAAAAGAAGATTATATAAGTTTAGTTTCATACCACCATTACTCATGGTGTTGGGGAATTTATAAATGATATAAGCTGCAGAGCAAACTAAATTATATCTCTAACTCTCATTTCATAGAATAGAGTCAGAGGAGGGAAAAATGAATAACACCAAAATGTTAAGTAATAGATTCAATTGTTAGTTGATCTCAAACACTTAAAACGATTCTTTTCTTTGTTTAGAATTTGAGGATTTCATTCATGCAACAAATCTCAACATATCTTCACGTATGATAATGTGCGGTGCATTTTAGTCATAAACTCTTGCGACTTTATTTTTATAACACTAGTCTTTTATTTCGTAGGAAAATGAAAAAGTTGAAGAAATCATGGAGTAGAAGCTAATGTTGGAGTAGTTTTGTTCGATTCCTGCCTCAAACCATTCGTTCTTCTATTCATGTAAGAGTTTCTCTTCGTCTTAGCATGAACTAACTTATTTAGAGTCTTAATTTATGAACACTTAATTATTTATGTTTTTGCTAAGTTGCTATAGTATTTAGAATATTGAACCAAAAATAACTAATTAGTGTCCGAAAATCCTTCCAAATTCACCAGCTACTGTTTATGAACAAAGTTCAACCATTTGTTACCGGCCTTAATGGTAAAATCAAATGCTTTTTTTTTTCTTTTAAAATTAATTTAGCTGTAGGTTATAGTAATAAATAAATAAATAAATAAATGAATTTTTTATTGTTTATTTCAACGTTTGGATAATTTGTCAATTTCGACTCCCTAAAGTTCCATAAATGCTCAAATTTGGTATTTGACGTTCAATTTCAATAATTGTGAAAGTTATCCTATTTATAATTAAATAAATTACAATGATATGGAAAGATTAAAAAATCGAAATAACAATAAATAGAAACTGCACTAAACATCAACCAAATATTAAGATTAAATTTATAAATTATTAAATTTATTTCCCCTTTATTACCAACCTTCCATAAACATTAAGAACTATGAGTAATAGTAAAATTATTCAACAATTTTCCTAATCTCAGAGTACTTTAGCCATCAAATATGTATAAATACATGAACCAAATCAATATAATAGAAAAAGTATAAAAACCTAATATGTCAAAAAAGCTTTGTAAAAAGAGAACGTATCATATGCTAAAAATCCTAATAAAAGCCTTAGTTTTTTGAAGTGTTCTTGTTAGAATAGTGGCTTAATCTGTTTTAAGTACGCCCTAAGGCAATATTATAAGCTTTAATTCCATTTAATGTGATAAAAAAGTTTTAACATTAGGATTGACAACTTCCTTTACTAGATTTTTAGAACCATACTGATTGATATCTTTCGTGGAAAAATAGTAAGGTTGTGAGATTCCGGACACTAAAGGAATTAGACAAAAAAGCATTGTGGAAGGAAGGATTTTTGTGAGATTCCGCATCTGTTGGAGAGGGGAACGAAACATTTTTTATGAGGGTGTGGAAACCTCTCCCTAACAAACGTGTTTTAAAAATCTTGAGGGAAAGTTTGAAATAGAAAACCTAAAGATGATAATATCGGCTAACCGTGGGTTTAGGTCGTTACAATTTGGGTCTTCTAATAACTCGATTGGTTAATTTTGTGTTTTGAATTGGAAGTAGGCATTATGCTGGATCATCTCTATGACTCTTCACCTGGACACTGACCCGTAAGTGTTTACTTTTACTTTCAGCTACAAATATTGTCTTCCTAACTAGTAACTCTCTGTATTCTACTTTTTGCACTTTTTGCAGCATTATCTCAAAGTAGATCTTTTATGGAACATTGTCTAATTACTTCATCTATTTCTTTACTTGATGAAATGGACGACCAATCTTATTTCATATTGAAGGGAAACGACAGAGGGAATCGAATTGTCTCATGAAGTTAAAAATATGCCTCCAAATAACAAACTTAGACCAATTTCCCTTCGTGAAATTGAAGAGTAGAACAAAACATTTCTTATAAAGGCGTGGAAAACCTCTCTCAAACAGACGCTTTTTAAAACATTGAGGGGAAGTCTAGAAGGGAAAGTCCAAAGATCAATATCTGCTAGCGGTGGAATTTGACTCTTACAATTTTCCTAGCACTAGACACTTTGATCATATCAACTATATAGCATGCATAGCGATTGAGTTTCAGATTCTACTATTCAAGCTTACTCACTCCTTGAAATGCGGGATAGTATTTCACAATGGAATGATGATGACTCGACCCAATGTGCTAGAAATACTCTTTGTTTGATATTGTATTTCCATGGAGAACACTGCATAAATATGGTTCATGTCAATGCTACAAGATAAAGACATTTAAGTTTGAATTGACGGGGAGGTTATGAACTGATAGTTATTGAAAAATTAAGATGTTCGGTAGTGATCCTGAATCTAGTGGATATCAGCGAGAACCTAAATCTAGTAGCTGAACTAGAGAATGTGAAGAGTTTCTTCATTTAGAAAGTGGCTAATAGAAGATGGAAGAGTATTTCTATTTAGTGAACCAACTAAATTGTTCTTATCGACATGGTTTTGGTCAATCCATGAGGTGGATTGGATACTTAGGCTGCCTTCAACAAATCAAGCAAATGAAAAGGTTCCTTTATATGACTGAAACTCGAAGTCCTTGGTGTGGATCTGAAAGCCATATGGCAGTAGGATGATTTTTGGTCAAATTATTCTAGTAATAAAGGAAGTGACGAAGAGGGCTTAATAGCTAACTAAAGATGTGAGATCCCGTTGTTCGGAGAAAGGAACGAATGCTAACGAGGACGTTGGGCCTTGAAGGAGGGTGAATGGTGAGATCTCATATCGGTTGAGGAGGAGAACGAAACATTCCTTATCAAAATGTGAAAATCTCTCTCTAGCAGACGCATTTTAAAAATATTTAAGGGAAGTTTAGAAGGGAAATCTCCCAAAAATAACAATATTTGCTAGTGGTGGGCCTGGGCTGTTAGATGCAACCGAGTTTTCTCCATTTGGGCTTACTACATGTAACCACCCAAGCCCACTGCTGGTAGATATTCTCATTATTGGGCTTTCCCTTTTCGATTTTCCATCAAGATTTTTAAAACTGGTATGCTAGAAAGAGGTTTCCACACCTTTATAAAGAATGTTTCGTTCCCCTCTCCAATCAATATGAGATCTCACCATCCACCCCCACCCTTCCGGGAACCCAACGTCTTCACTTGCACTTGTTCCTTTCTCCAATCAACGTGGGATCTCACACTTCATGTCACTCAAGATCTTGGAGCACTCTAAAAATCTACTATTTTTAATTCCTATCTATTAGGAGACATCTCCTCAAGAATGGTAGAAAAGAGACTCCCATTAAGCTCACTCATGTCCAAATGACACCTCACTCACATAGTACATAATGTGCAATAACCACGAGTAAAGGTGGTACAATAAAGTCTTCCAAACAGTATAAAAGAAAGCATACAAGGGATTACAACCAAAAGAAACTTCAAGAAGAACATCATACAGAGCAAACTTGAATCTGACCACATTCAGCGGATAAAAAATGGAAAGCAAACTCATAATCAGACTCCTCAAAAGCAAGAAAATGGGGTACCTACTCAGATCTTAACTGAAAGCTAAGCATGATGAACAAAAATGGAGAAACCATTCACAAATCTAAACTGCAGAGCTAGGCATGGTAATTTATTAATAAAGAGAAACAGCTTCTCAATTTATGTGAAAGAAATTTGCAAATGTCTACCTAAAATGTGTAGCCAATAGAGCCAGAAGCAGATGTGAATGTTACAGCATATACGAAAGCCTAAATTACAACATATCAACAAATTTGATAAAGAGCCTAACACAGAAGAATGAAGGTTAGTTTCAGAGGCCCAACCTAAGATCCAGAGTGAGACCTGAAGAATACGAAGAAGAAGAGCCATCTTCAACAGGGGCAGGCATGTTCAAGTCCAAGTTAAGAAACCCCTCTTCTGTAGCTGCATTCTCCTCCACTCTCTCCCAATGGCATCTCATATGGCCACCAAGTGCTTGACCACTCGCAAAAACCCTCATACATACACTACACTTATGCCCTGCTGCTGTTCCTAAAATCATCGACATTTTATCCTCCAGATTGATGCTCAAATCATGACCACAATGTCCAAACAGAGCATCATCTTCTATTTCTTCATCGCTCTTCGCCATGGCGGAACAGCCTCTCACATTCTTGTGACTTGCCCTATGTCCTCCAAGCGCCTGGTGCGATCCAAACACTTTCTTACAACTCGCGCATTCAAATCGAAAATCGGAAACCCTAGCGATCGCACTAGGGCAATCGGCAAGCACTAACAAGCAATTAGCGACGTCCTGTTCCTCTTCGGTAAATGCTGATGCTTCCAAATCAACTCTAGGTCTAAAAGGAGAAACCGAAACCGAGCGATGGAACCTAACCGGCGGATTAATCCCCCGCCATTGTCGTTCAGGATGACACCTCATATGACCAAAAAGCGCCTTATCCGACCAAAACCTCCTCCCACACTCACTACACGGAGGAGTGATCTTCGGCGCAGTAGGATCCGGCTTCTTTCTATACTTAGCCTTGGAGCCGACGACAGCAGTGGAGGCGTTTTCAGTTCTTGACCGCTTCTTGCGTGGATTATGGCGGCGCTTGGAATCGAAAGTAGTTTCGACGATTCCGAGTTGAAATGGAATAGCGAGGTCCAAGGCAGAGCTGCTACTACTGGAAATGGCGAGGGAGTTGATATCTGAATTCATGATTGGAAGAAGAGAGAAGAAAGGGAGCTGAAAGTGAAAGCAAAACAGAAAGTATAACAATGGCGGAAGAATTTTGGATTTGAAGGCTGTGAGACGGTTACAGGTTCTTCTGTCACAGACATGGCGGCTTTTTTTCTTCCTCTTTCCTTATTTCATCAGTTAGTTATTGCGGTAGTTACAGATCATACGGGGGAGAGATTTTTTCCTTTTTTTTTTTTCGCGCTCTTTCAACTGACTTCAGTCTTATCTGGTCAAATTTGATCTTGACCGTTCATTTTCGTATAAAATAATCTAAAAATTATATATTTATATTATTTAATTTAATATAAATAATCTTACGGTTTTCGTCCATATATTAACGATAAGAGATATCATCCTTGTTAATGAGTTTAATAAAGTGATAATATACCATTAAATTGCATTTTTTTAGACCGAAAATAATCATATATTTAAAAATGTCTATCAAAAAATATTCTTATTCTTATGGTTTTCGTCTATATATTGACGGTAAGAGATCAAGTTCTTGTTAACGAGTTTAATAAAGTAATAATTTACCATCGAATTGCATTTTCTTTTTATCGAAAATAATCATATGTTTAAATAAAAAAAAATAGAAATGTTAAATAATACACTCTCTTAACTTACGACTCCATCCCGACATCACATCTGGACTTCCTTTTTCTTTTTCTTTTTTTTACTAATGGGTTTTCAAACCAATTTCCTTTTTGATATGAACCACGATCAAAGAATTTTCATACCTCAAAGTCTACTTAAAAAGACAAGAGCCAAGAAGCTATCACAAACTTTGTACACTTATATTCAAGGTAGGGTAAACTCATCAAAGAAAATTTTAGATTATGAATGAAATATATTTATTAGTCATTATTAGACTAGTTCCATAAGTTTAGCTGAATTCATTAAATATATGCATTAATCTCAACTTTGTGCAATATATAAGGGGAGGTCTCCAGCATATTTTAATTTGATGAGCTCAATATAGCTTGAATATAAATGTAGCTATATGGAGCCTCAAATCACAAATTATAATAATAATTATTATTATAATTGGTAATTTTTGATTATGGGCCTGGATTCCCAAGAATGTACGGGAAAATCCAAACTAAGGCCCACAGATCGAGACTCTTTATCTTGTCGGACTGGAAGGAGCAAAATCCAGGCCCGAAAATAAGAAATGGAATATGGGATTCAGCTCCATTCTTAATTCATCCATTTCTCGAATCACATGATCACTTTACGCGATTTCGTCGCTGTCTTCTCAATCTCTACGCACACTTTTCCATTCATTCAATTCTCCTTTTCTTTTTGTTCATTTTTTATACCGTAAATACTCCAAATTTGATTTTGTGTTACAGAATTATTCTTTTTCTCTTTCGTGATTGTATTGCATTAAATACCTTTTTTCTTTCTCGCTTTTTTAATCTGCGGTTTTCGTTATCCTTTCGGGGTTTTCGATGTTTCTTTTGGGATAGGGTTAGTGTTGGGTTTTTCTTTTTTGTTTTTGTTTTGTTTCGAGATTCTTTTGCTGATCGATCTGCGTTAAAGGGATATGGGTGCCGACGGTGATTCCAGCGAGCACCGGGTTCATGGTGACGGTGAAGAAGGGGGAGGTAGTGTTACAGTTAATATTCGATGTTCTAATGGTTCGAAATTTTCGGTGAGGACGAGTCTTGATTCCTCGGTTGGGACATTTAAATCAATTCTTGCTCAGAATTGTGACATTCCAGCTGATCAGCAGCGCTTGATCTACAAGGGTCGCATCTTAAAGGACGATCAAACCTTAGTCAGTTATGGTATGTTAATTCTTTTTTGTTGGGGTTATTATGTGATATAAAATTGTTTTTCTGGAAGTCTGTGGACTAAATTTTGGTGAATAATTCTCGTTTTGCTTTGTTCATTATAGTTGAGTTTTTTCCTCAATTTTTTGTTCTCTTTGGAAGGATATGCGAATGTGACTTTTTTGGGTTGTTCTTCAAGTTTTAGTTGAGTCCATTTATTCCCAAGGAACTCCCTGATTGATTGGATTGTATGCACCTCCTGATTCATGTCGGCTCTGTCTCAAATGTTCCTTTTTTTTGGTACAGGGTTTGGCGTAAGCCAAGTATAGATCCTTTACTGGGAATTGCTGGTAAATTCTTTATATTCATATTCTGTTGGGTCGGAGGATAGTTTAATTGAAGGTATCGAGTATATTGCAACAGCTGCAGACATTGTGTTTTGGTTTGTAATGTTTGAATCGAGTATACATTTTGGTTGATGATTCTCTCTTCCTTGACTTTCTCAAGCTGACAAATTTGTACGATTAGCTTATCGAGATATATAGTGGGAGCTTTCGTTTTCCATTCCATTTCTAGTGTTGGAGTTCTTATGTTCATAGCGAAAATTGGCCGAGTTATACAATACAATCTATTTGTTATTTAGTGGCTATTGCGCGACCCATTACACTGATAAATTGTTCATAGTATTTGCAAGTTGCCTTTAACCTCGTACCATCGACGCTCGCATTTTGTGCTGTAGTAATTGGCATTGAGAATATGTTTTCTTGTTGCGTCTCTCTTGTGACCTGAAATTGTCTTTATATCTTTTTTCCTTTTCGTTTTTGAAGGTTTACAGGCAGATCACACTATTCACATGGTTCGAGGTTTCGCCCAAGCTTCAGCACCACCTTCTGCACCTGCTTCGAATGTTAATAGTAGAAGTTCTGACACTGCTCCTGGTGTTACAAGAGGTGTTGGTTCTACTGAGAGTGGTGCTTTTGGAAATGCTGGCCTTGGTGCATCATTATTTCCTGGACTGGGTTTTAATCCTTTTGGCGGGGGTGGAGCTGGACTTCCTGAGTTCGAGCAAGTGCAACAACAGTTGACTCAAAACCCGAACATGATGAGGGAAATAATGAACATGCCTGCAATTCAGAACTTGATGAATAACCCTGACTTGATGCGGACCTTAATTACGAGCAATCCTCAGATGCGGGATATTATTGACAGGAACCCAGAGCTTGCTCATATCCTCAATGACCCTGGTATCCTTCGACAGACATTAGAGGCTGCAAGGAATCCTGAACTCATGAGAGAGATGATGAGAAACACTGACCGAGCTATGAGTAACATTGAATCTTCTCCCGAGGGATTTAACATGCTGAGGCGGATGTATGAAAATGTTCAGGAGCCATTTCTAAATGCAACAACGATGGCTGGAAATTCTGGGAATGACTCGAGTGCAAACCCATTTGCAGCTCTCTTGGCAAACCAAGGGGGTGCACCTGTGAGGAATGAGTCTAATAATTCTTCAACTACAGGATCAGAAACAACAGGAAATGCTGCTCCAAATACAAATCCACTTCCTAATCCCTGGGGTAATAATGCTACCATTATTGACTAGTAAAGTATTATTTTTGTTGCAATTCTATTCTATTCCTCCCATTATTTAACTAGAGGACGCTTTTGTGCCTTCAAATGATGTAACTTTCTTTTTTCTTTTCACTTCTAACGAGATTAGATTGAGAAATCATTTACTTTTTCTACGAATTGATATATGTTAGACAAGATTTGTAAGTTTATGTGGTTGTTACTTGAAGGTATTCTTGCTTATCGATATTCTGATGTCTTATCGTATAATATTTCTTTGCCCAAATTAAGCGTATGACTATCTTGCTTGAGTTTACTCGAGCTTTTTTGTCTTATTCCATTGTAAATTTTAATCTATTAACATTCATTTGGAAACCTAACTTTCCCATGTACTTCATCCTATTAACATGGTTTCATCACATCTTTACTGAATGGTGGCATATTTCAATGTTAATTTTCAGGAGGAATTCAGACAACAACCACACGGCCTACTCCAGCTGGTGATGCAAGGGCTCCTAGTATCGGAGGATTAGGAGGGGCTGGCCGTACAAATGTGGATCCTCTTGCTGGTGTTGTGCCAGACGCGGCTCAGATGAATCAGTTTCTGCAAAATCCAGCTATTTCACAGATGATGCAAAGCCTGCTCTCCAATCCTCAGTATATGAACCAGGTGCTGTGCTTATATGATAATGATTACTGCTAAATTAGTTTAAATGCCATTTGAAAGGTTTTGTAATTCCCATTTTCTTTGATTTGAACTGTAGATCCTCAATCTGAACCCACAGCTACGGAGCATGGTTGATATGAATCCTCAATTAAGAGAAATGATGCAAAATCCAGAGTTCATTCGCCAGTTAACTAATCCGGAGATGATGCAGGTACGACTACTCGGACATCCCCAACCCCACTGCACTCAAAAGGAAACGAAAGAAACGAAGACAAAATCTATATTCTAAGTTCTAATTTTGATTTCATTGTTTGGAATCAATTGGCATTCATGGTAATATGTGATGATGGTTCATAATGGCTTATTTGTGAGATCCCACATTTGTTGGAGAGAAGAACAAAACATTCTTTATAAGAGTGTGGAAACCTTTCCCTAGTAGACACGTTTTAAGAACCTTAAGGGAAGCCCGAAAGGGGAAGTCCAAACAAGACAATATCTGCTAGCGGTGGGCTTGGGCCGTTACATTATCGATATCATTTCCAAATTTTTGTTTTCTATTAAAATACATTTACAGTTTTCTTGGTTCATTTCTGCATTTTCTTCTTGCAGCAAATGCTATCAATTCAGCAGTCCCTCCTCTCTACCTTAAATCGACAGCCATCGGTTCAGTAAGTCCAATTTCCTCTCTAATTTATATAATTGTACACCTTTGTAGCTCAAATACTAGGCTGTTTGAAACGACCGTCAGGATCACATTTTATATTGAATGCTGCAGATTCATCATCGTATACCGAGCTTATTCATTGTATAATCAAACTTCATCTAGAATGAATTTGTGGCCTTGTAACTGGATGGTAGTTTAGTAGTTTGATGGAATTTGACGAAGATATTGGTTTTGTACAATTAATCCACGTAAATCGTATGATTACTGTATAGCTATGCAGATTTAGTTCGTTATTCGCACTGAATTTCACTCCACGTCGAATATTGATTACTTGCTACTTTTTACAGAGACTCTGCTCAATCAGGTGCTGCTACAGGTATGGTGAAAGGATAATTTCAGATTCGATGTTCATCGTACATCGTTTTCTTTTACACGACCAATGTTTCTAAGTCACCTAAGTTATAGGTGTTCCTAGCACTGCTGGATTGGAGATGTTGATGAACCTGTTTGGTGGGCTCGGTGCTGGCGGGTTGGCTGTTTCGAACAATCCCAATGGTTCGATTATCTGCTAGCTTTGTTGTTTTCTTTTCATTGCTGCAGCTCACCTTGCTGGGGCCTTTAAATATCAAATGAACTTTCTTTGCAGTGCCCCCAGAAGAACTATACGCAACTCAACTTTCACAGCTCCAAGAGATGGGCTTCTTCGACACCCAAGAGAACATCAGAGCTCTACGTGCTACTTCCGGGAACGTTCATGCTGCTGTCGAACGACTGCTGGGAAATCTCGGGCAGTAAATCGATAAGATCTTACCTCTTTTCTTTCGAAATTTAATTGGGATTTGTCATGTAGTAGTGAAATTTTAGATCTACAGTCACAAAACAGCAGCTGCACATGCCAGAGAAGAGACACACAGGTTACGTTTTGGAATCTGAATAATTGAAAGTGCCCCATGAGATAGAAATACATAGACTTTGTGGATATTGTTATGGATCACTATATTAAATTTGCCCAGTTTCACCCATCCCTCCAAAAAAGACTTGTAAATACATTTTAAACGTTTCAAATTTCATTGGAACTCGATTGGCAGCAGTTTTTTTAGATTCTTTTTATCGAGTTATGGCTTCATTATGCTGATTTTTGTAGAAGAAAAGATGTTAATTTTGGGTTCAAGTTCGTCGTTTTGACGAATGTTTTATAATTTAGTCTCTAAACTTTGAGATTATTTGGTTTAAATTTTGACATGTCGAAAGTTTTTTTTGGTCAATCTGTTCATGAATTCTTAAAAAATATATAAAAATGCTTGGTTTAATAAGATCGGTTGTCGAAATAATAGTAATATTTAATTTAAAATATATATATATATATTTTTTTTTTTTTTTGAGAGTCCATCTATCCATTTACAGAATAATCGTTGTAAAAATCTCCAAAAATTGAAATAATAATAATTATTAAAGTTAATTAAATTTATAATTAACATTAAATCAGAATATATAAGACTACTTACCAAAATTAAATTAAATTAATTACAAGTTTGAATAGAATACCCATTTATTTGAATTGGAATATTTTGAAAAAGAAAAAGAAAATTCAATGATTATTGGAAATTAAAATTAAAAAAAAAAAAAAGCATAAAAATAATTGAAAACCAGAACTTGAACACCAACTTTACCCGCGAGATCAAATTCATATCTCCCATCCCTACCTCTCCGTTCCGTTCTGATCCCAACCACTGCCGCAAAGATTTTGCCGCGAAATGCTACGCCGAATCGAGTAAACTTGCCGTTCTAGGAACGCCGGCGAGCGGTGGACGATGCGCGTCATTGTGGCTGAGAGTGACCAAGATCGCTCGCTCCAACTTTGATGGTAACAGGATTTGACAGAAAGAGACGCGAGCGATAGAGGTTCATTGGTGCTTAGTAATTGGCGGAATTTTCTTCCGCACGGTCGTAGTGGACGGGACGCACGGGACTCCAAAGTCACGTGCCTTCCCCGTGCTTCTGCTGCACAGTTCCCTAGGGTTTATGCCAGATTCGGGCAAGAAATACCGTATTTTCGATTCTCTGACCAATCAACTGAATGAGGCTCTACGGCGTCGTTTATTGACTGTTCTGACGTTCTGTAGTTCTGTTTCCTTCGTGCTCCTCATGGTGATTTCTTTTCTTTATTTTCTTATCCTCTTTCTTTTCTTTTCTTTTTTTCCACCCCTAATTTTTGTGAGAAATTGCTTGCTGCTATCATCCCCATTCCCTTTGAAGTTTGAATGATTTTATTATCGCATTCAGTTTGTTTCGTAATTCCTGGTTTTCCCAAAATTTATCATTATCTTGTTGGTATTTATAAAACTTTGATTTCCATTTCTACTCCTCGATCTCCTTCCATCTGGGTTTGTGGAGTTGATTCAGTTTCTTTCTTCATCGAGATTAGTTGAGGCATCGGTACCCTTTTAGTTAAACAGGTGAAATGAGCATAATTTTGTGTCTGGCCATTGCCACCGAACTAAACCAATTCACTAGCTTTCATCCTTCCCTGTTTCATCGGAGTAGCTGAGGCACATGATGCCTTGTCTGAAATCAAATCATCTTATTGAAATCAACCCTTGACGTATCTATCTATCATAGCAAATTCGATTTTTTAAGAACATTTTTTTTTTAAAGAAACAGGAACTTCATTGTCAAAGGGACAAACAGAGCGGGGATGAGATATCTCCATACCCCAAAGGATTAAAAGAAGAAAAAAAAAAAAACAAGAAGAAGCCTCCCAGCTAGTGGGTAATTGAGCTATGCTATAATTACAAAACAAATTAGAAGTAGATAAAGTAGAAGTAAAATTTTTAACAAGTTCCCAAACTACTTCCTGTTAGATTCTTGATCATGAAAGACTTTTTATATTTATGGAGTTGTAATTAGCAATGAAATCAGTTCTTAAAATGTTGAGTTTTTTTTTAGAATTGGTAAAATTTAAGCCGAAAACTAGATTAGACCTTATGACGTAAATTTTGGTCCATTCTTCAATAGCATTAGTAGTTTCTTACTTGTTCCACCTTATTCTTAGTCTATGATTAATTGAGAATGTTTGGTTTTAAATATTTCTAACACTGTCTGTGCATTTCAACAGGTTTTTATATTTTCCTCCTTTCTTCCAATTGAATAAGGTAATAGATATTAGAGACGGAAGCTTTTAAGTGAAGGTATTGACTTATTTCAACATATCAATGACCTATACACCTCCAACATGGGCGACATTTGCTGCTGCTGCATTTGTTATTCTGACTCTTGTCCTTTCACTATATCTATTGTTCGAGCACCTTTCTGCATATAAGAATCCGGAGGTTCTCTTATTCCATGAAGATGCTTCCTTGTCTTGTAATTTTTCTGATTTTCTTTCAATTAGTATAACTATTCCTGGTTATCATTTCTCAGGAGCAAAAGTTTTTGATTGGAGTTATCCTAATGGTACCAACTTATGGTGTAGAATCAGTAAGTTCTTAACTGAAGGCTTCCCTATGACATGGCAAATACTTGGAGATAAATTTCTTACTTACATTCTTTCTATACCTTATTGAGTGTTAGTAATCCAAACCTCCCTCAAACTAAAGCTTTATGATTGAAATAGCAAGTTCCAATATCCAACTCAACTATTTGTTCTTCCCTGAATATTGGATATCATAATAACCTTATTTCAAAATAGATTTCATCGTGGAATGAGATATTGACTAGAGCAGTTGAAAAACGTAATCTTAAGGATGCATTCATATATTTGCAGTCTAGAACTGTGAAAATATGGGACCTTGTAAATTCAAGGTTCTAATTGATTTTTTGACATATAATCAACACGATATTTTTTGCTGGTATTTGATATTATTTTTAAACATTGAAACGTGTTGGTTGACTTAATTATCATTTATGATAATACGATATAGTTTTCCCTCTGTATTGAGTTTTGCTGTTCTTTCTCTGTTTTGGATACAGCAGATATCTTGTGGAAAATTTACACCTTTTTTTCTCTTGCTTGATTTACTGTGAACAGTTTGTATCATTGGTGTACCCATCAATAAGTGTTTATCTTGAGATCCTACGCGATTGCTATGAATCCTTTGCAATGTACTGCTTTGGACGATATCTGGTTGCTTGCTTAGGTACGATCTTTATAAAATATTTCTGAAAGTATTGTAGGATTATGACAGAGGCTATGGGTTTTAATTTTGCAGGAGTCTGAACTTAGTTTCAGCTATATTTTCGATTTGTCATTCATTTTTATCTCTTTTGCAAAGTTCCAATTTTTTTTTTTTTTTTGCAGTTTTCTAATGGACCAAGTCATCTACTGACCCCTTTATTAATGTTTTGTGTTTTTACTAGGTGGGGAAGAAGGGACGATTGTATTTCTAGAGAGAGAAGGACGTTTAAATACTAAGACACCATTATTAGAACATAGCTCAGAAAAGGGAACAATCAAGCATGTTTTCCCTATGAACCTTTTCTTAAAGCCATGGAAAATTGGTGGATGGGTTTACCATGTTATCAAAATTGGGATCGTCCAATATGTATGCCTGCCGTTGACCATTGATGCTCTGTTATCCAATGCCTTTTAATATGATTAAAGAAGACTAATGGGTTTTCTGTGCAGATGATGATAAAGTCCCTCACTTCTATTTTAGCTGTAGTTCTTGAGAACTTTGGCGTTTATTGTGAAGGAGATTTTAATTTCAAATGCGGGTAAACCAAAATTTCAAGTATCTCTGCCGTTGCTTACTCCTCCTTCATATTGGACTAACTGCATGTCAAGTTTTAAATTTTCTTTATGGGGTTTTCTTTAATTTTCATTTTTACACGGCATTGGGTGTTTGCTCATGCATATTGTTACTGTTAACTTTGAAATGCGTATGTTTTTTGCTTTTTTCACATTCTTGATTTGATTTATCTGTCAATTGTATGTGTGCATCTGTAGAATATATTGCTATGGATCTGTCATGTTGACATATCTTTCCTATAATCTTTCATGTTGAAGTTCTATTTTTTTTTTTCTGTTAGTTTCTATATTGTTTGTTTCTGGACTGGTTTTGTTTTTGCTTTAGCTGAATTAAATATCAATTAGTGTACAAGGTAGCAGGTGGTCGTCTGAAATTTTGGAATACTCCCTCTCATTATGTTATCTTATGAAATACTTCTGGGCGGGGAGTGCTTAGTAGATTTCTATAACTGCATCTGACTATTATTGCTTTTAAAAAATGACTGAAAAATATTGGAGATTTTAAAGCTGAAATTTTCGATTGATGGTTTTAGCATTTATTTTGTAGGTATCCTTATATGGCAGTGGTTTTAAATTTCAGTCAATCATGGGCATTGTACTGTCTGATTCAGTTCTATGCAGTTACGAAGAAAGAATTGATACATATAAAGCCATTCGCCAAGTTTTTGATGTTTAAATCTATAGTATTTTTGACTTGGTGGCAAGGTGTTGGAATTGCTCTCCTATCTTCCCTCGATTTGTTCAGTTCTGTAGCCCAAGGGTTACAGTTTAAGTCAAGTGTCCAAGATTTCATCATTTGTATCGAGGTAGCCATTTCTTTCTCCTGCATCCTTTTTTTTTTTTTTTTTTTTTTTTTGTCNTGCCATTGATTAAGCAACCTGTCGTCAGACTTGTCTAATAATATTTTCTCTTTCTCAAAGTCACTTTACCCTTTAATGTGGGTTTTCTATCGTCTTTCTTTTTTGTTTTACTCTTCTTGGATGGATAAGACGACAAGTAGAATTCAAGTTCATTCTACCTTTCTTCTGCCCAAATTGTAAACTTGATTATTGAAACTTGATACAGGAACAGCAAACTTTAGAAACCAATAGTTGAGTTTGATTTACTTTTATACATATGATGGTATAGAGATCTTTACAGGTGTAGCTGATTGAACTTGTTCATTAAATAGTGGAAGAATTGTGATGATGGTGGTGCTATATTGACGATTGGCATCCTTTAGTAATTATTTCTTGATTTCTATCTACTTTTAAAAGCGACCATGTGAATTAGAATTTGACTGAGCTAATATTTTCTTCATTTTATTCGCTGTGCTGACGACTTCATCTGAAGAATCAAACAGTTGAGAACGTTATTTTCTTTTCTCATTTAATAGAGCACCATTTTGTCTCTTATGTTTTATGGAACATCTTTTCTTTTTTTTGGCAAGTGTTTCATTTCCGTGCTTAAAGAACGCAGTTTGGAGTGTTTTTTTTTTTTTTTTTTGCAGTGAAAACAGGTTTTTGTTGGTAAGAAATTAAAAGATGTATTCTTCTTGTGATTCACCTTTTTCTTTACTCATTCCAAACGTGTCGTCTGATTATTGATGTTCGTATTCACAAGACTGAATTTAACACATCTATAAATTTATCCAGCACAGATGGCCATTGCTTCTATGATTCACTTGTATGTATTTTCTGCAAAACCCTATGAACTTATGGGGGACCGTTATCCTGGAAGTGTTTCTGTTCTTGGCGATTATGCATCTGTCGACTGTCCTTTAGATCCAGATGAGGTCAGGGATAGCGAGCGTCCTACAAAGTTACGCCTACCCCAGCCTGACCTCGAAGACCAAGACCCCAAGATGGGCATGACAATCAAAGAGAGTGTCCGAGATGTTTTTGTTGGTGGTGGGGGCTATGTAAGTTATCCTCTTCATTCTATATATTACATCCTTGACTTATCTAATTGATGGAAATTAATGTCTTGTGGTGTTTTTTGCTTCTTAAGATAACTTGCCACATTAATTTGGCACTGAATACGTACATACAAACAAAAACAATATACATGTAGGCACGCCCATATATATTCTCTCATGGGAAACTATTTTAAAGCATGCACTATGGAACATACATTTTATCTTTTTCCATTGACCATAATGACTACTTCCGGCGGGCCAAAAGTGCCTTTGGAAGACAATTAGATACTTCTTACACAAAAAGGTTCAGTAGGTCTACAGTTGAAATAATTTTTTGGGGCCTTTTTTGTTCATATTTCTTCAGTAATTCCAGTTTATTTCTACTACCTGATATGACCTTTTGAACTGCCTTACAGATTGTGAACGACCTGAAATTCACAGTAAACCAAGCAGTTGAACCTGTGGAAAAAGGAATAACGAAGTTCAATGAAAAACTGCATAAGCTCTCCCAAAACATTAAGAAACGAGACAAGGATAAAAAAAAAACCAAGGATGACAGTTGTATTAAGTCGCCCACACAAAAAGTCATTCGAGGAATCGATGACCCCCTTTTGAATGGGAGCTTCAGTGATAGCACGATCGTTCGGGAAAAGAAGAACCGTCGAAAATCAGGTTATATAAGTGCAGAAAGTGGCGGAGAAAGCAGCAGCGATCAGGGTTATGGTAAGTACCAAGTTGCTGGCCGCCGATGGATCACCAAAGACTAGTAAACAATAGGTACTACTCTTTATAATCAAAGCAAGAAAAAGATGAATGGTTGTGGTTCACTCATCAAGTGGAGTCCCAATAGATGAGAGATGTGCCTGAATTTTAGAGCATTCTGCTTTGTGTGAACCCTCTCCAAATGCAGTGAGGCATAGCAATGGTGGGAAGATTCCATAGAAAACTCCTGGTATGATGTGCAACCAGATGCCAAGGTAATTTCTTGGTGCACAGAGGATTTTACTTCATCTATTATGGGTTAGTGTATCATGATTACAAACTATGTTGGGCTTTTACCATTCTTGTAAATAGCTGGGGCTATGATAATCAGAACTGGGATATTCTGCATAATTTATTTCTCGGGTGGACACACATATATATATATATTAGTACAGAGATTTGTTAAAAACTTATCATTTAAATGTGTTTAACAATCTTGAAAGTAGCATGCTCCTGGAATCATGCAGTGAGGGAGCAGAGATGAAAAGCTTCATGAGTAATTTTCTTATTTGTAGTTTATGTGGTAGCCTTGTATAACTTGTTTTAAAGCTTAATTTTCATGAATAAAAAATCAAACACTAAACCAAGCCTCAACATGAGATTCTCGTTGTCGTTCATCATTTTGTTAAGAAAATTTGTACATTTTTATAACATTTTGCTTGCGTCATCACGAAGGTGAAATTACTGAATCGATCGGTTGTGTACATGCGCTAAATCTCGGATCATGCTCTTGCTATTCTCTCGCTCATCTTTTAAATCTGTTTTGTCCTCCTTTCTCATTTTCTCCCTTGATTCTTCATTCAACACAATCGATCATTGAGATTCCTTAGTTTCTTCCTTCTTTTTCTGACATTTCGTCTAAGAATGAGTCAGAACAGTCCTCCAAAGCTCGAATCTAGCGCTCGATTCAACATTTTAGGTTTAAATATGTGTCTTCTTTTCCATTTCCATTTTGCTTCTGCTTTTGTTTCCATTTTCAGTTTAGTTTTAGTTGGTCTAGAAGAACATATTTAAACAGACCAAAAAATGAAAGAACATATTTAAACACTTCCAAACATCCAACAGCAACAAAAACTTAGGCTAATGCAGAGAAGAACCAGGGTGCTCACTTACAGGACAACAAAGAACATGATAAAGACTCTTTTAAGGGATATTGTTCTAAAATTCTCAACGAAAACTAAACACTGCATGGTGTTCACAATCTACGTAACACTACACGATTCCATGCTGGGAAGAAGATTCCAACTCACCAGGAGTGCATACTCGACAGTAACTCGAATCAACTCTAGACTAGAAATAGGTTCAGGGCTGGAACCTGGTATCCAAGGGTAAATGCAGTTTCAAGACTAGGCACTGGCTGACATCACTTATCTTCCAATCGCTGCAACACTGAATCGGCAAAGCTTTGTTGCTTTCGTTCACGGTATTTAGGGCTTGGACGGGAGTGCTTCAAATATCCATCCCAAGGAACCTTCTTAAGACCTGCCCGAGCACATATTATGTCCCTAACCCTGTTAAAAACAATAACGTCCAAAATTAGAGCAGCCTAAGGCCAGTGGAGCAGGAAAGGTTAGCAGAAAGATTTGATGCTGCTGATAGTAATAGTAGAACTACTACAGCATTGCAGGTGGAAACTAAGGTTACCTCTCTGCAAACTCGATGGGTGTTTCTCCAGGCTTCAAAACTTGGGGCTCCAGGTACCAGACATCACAAACAACAGCCCAAGAAGTCATAAGCTGCAGCAGATGCATGGTGAATGACTGCCTGAAAAACGACAATAGACGGTCTGGGTATCATCTACCCGATATAACAACCAATTCCATGCTAATGTATAACAAAAATACCATCATTGACAGGTAAAATTCTGTAAAATAATAATTATACACTACATGTTGTAAAATTCTGTGTCAATCAAATATAATTCCAACCAAAAAGTGCAGATTCACAGAGTTACTCAGAAAGAGAACACCAGGATGAAGTGGTGAGTCTAGATGAATCAAAACGATCTAACAAGGGAAGATGCTTGTTTTGAAATATCCATTGGTTTCTTCCCCTACTATAGTTAAAGTCAGAGGAGCTTAACTGCACTAATCCATGACAAACCCTGATCTAAGCATGTGAGATCCCACATTGACTAGAGAGTGAAACGATTGCTAGCAAGGACGATGGGCCTCGAAGGGGGGTGAATTGAGATCCCACATCGGTTGAAAAGGGGAATGAAGTATGCTTTATAAGGGTTTGGAAACCTCTCTCTAGCAGACGCGTATTAAAAACTTGGAGGGAAAGCCCGAAAGGGAAAGGCCAAAGAAGACAATATCTACTAGCGGTGGGTTTGGGCGGTTACAAAGCAAGTCTATAATTTGTTTATGTCCTTGAAGTTTCCTAAACAAATAATGTCAAACATGTTTTCATAAATTTGAAAAGTATTTTCTGCCACTTTCCTGGACAATCAAACAGGAATTAAGTTTCTAACAACAAAAATTAATCAAATAACACATGTAATATTCCTCCACAAAAAGCTCCTTACTTCCTGCTGTTCCAAAAAGCGTCGACGAAAATTTTGTTGTATTTGACTGCGATTGGACAAACAGAGCAGCCAAGTTCAAATGCACCCTGAAATCATTTAGGTTAAACCAAATAAATAAAATAGGCAATCTCAAGAAACAAGCTAGAACAAAAAGTGGACTGATAGCCTTAATGTACATCAAATATTATGGTCACCAATTAGATTAAAGCCTTGGCAGCAAATTTAAGAAGTACTATAAAAGCAATACCTTCTTGAACATAACAGAGTAGTGGTTATTTACACAAGTTCCTTCAGGAAATATAAGAAGAGGATTGTTGTCAGCCCCTTGAACGTGATCATTTAACCTAAAAGAGAAGAAGTTTCAATAATCATTCATTTCTTAATCATTCCACTAACACCCAGTGTTTATTGTAATTCTTGTGCTCCCACTGTACGGGGACCACTTACTTCTTTGCTACGATTTCACGGTCCTTCAACTCGGTACGGTTGAACTCTATGCATCCTATGCTCTCCAATATAGTGCTTTGCAACAGTCCTTCAACAACATATAACATATAGTAAGTTATAGTATGAAGACCATTATATGGCCTTCCCTGATTACTCACTACGCCGACCGTTCCTACTTGTAATAATAACTAATAGGAACGGTGACGAATATGGCTACTGGTTATTAATAGCAAGAGTTCCTCTTTCAAGCTTTAATTAAATCTTCATTTAACATATTTGCATAATAAATACACTCACCAACCCACCCAGGATGTTTTTGCATAATAACAGCAAACGCAGTCATTTGCTCCAAGACTATGAAATCAATCATGGAAGTGTGGTTGGCCACAAAAACCTACACAGTGGAAGGGAAAAAGAAAAATGTAGCACTGAAAATGATGCTCAAAATCTTGAAAAGGGAAAATATGCGATCACATTTGTAAAATGTAACCCCCAAATACCTGTTTTGGTCTGATGCTAGGCCGTGGCCCATGATACTTGACAACTCCAGTCCAAGATGCAACAAAGAAGCTGCAAATCAACTCCACCAAAAACCTCTAACAAAGGAAATATATAATCATTACACAGAAGAATTCTCGACTACCAGGCTAATAAGAACAGGATAAATATATTGTTGATTAAGAAATTTTGAGGGAAGACGATATGAGCCAAGACATTAATCATGCAATATAAACTTTAAGGAAAATGTGAAGAAAACGTTGTCAAAATTATCAAAAAATGTTTCAATTCATGCCACATTGAAGAAGAATCAAGTTTCATTGTTATAAATTTCGGGTAGATCATAATTTAGAGTCATGATGTTTCATTAATACATTTTAGGATTTTTTATTTACTTAACTTATGACCATAAAATATGAATGTTACAGCTCTTGAAATGCCTAATAAAAGGTCAAAGGTTTCATTTTGAGGCTATATAAAGCCATGTATGTTGTATTTGTAAGGAGACTGGAAAATGTAGTAAAATGGGCATTTGTGCTTTCCTTTATCCAATGACTATGTTTCTTTGCAATTCTATGTAGTTTAGGTTGCATGTAGAATCATTCAAGCTTGACATGATCAACCTGCTTGTGGAGTGATTTGAATCTCAAACAAATGTTCTTGTCTTGAGATATTCGATCAATAAGATAATCCAAATCTTACTTCCCTTATAGTAATTCCTTATCGGAAGAGGATCAAACCATTGACTTTTAAAACCTTAATTGATGTCTTATCCACTAAGTCAGGCTCATTTTGTCACACAAGATAGAGAATTAAAACACGTAATGGGGAAAATAAAAGAATAAGCAAACAAGATGTATAATTGAGCATTCACACCTCTAACTTAGCTCTCAGCTTAGGATGCCCTTTCAGAAGTAGGTTCACAGGAATGAATGTTGAAAGGAATATTATCCATCCTATTGTCAATATGAGAACCCTGCACCATTAGCTCAACAAAGCTTAAGTTAGTTCCTATAACTTGAAGTAAACATGTCATTATCAGATAAACGCTGCATGTACTCAACAGTGAAACAAAAATTAAATTCCGAAACAAGCTAACCTTGCTGGGAAGAGAATCAGATACCGAACGACGACTCCAAAGCACCACAAAGGGAACAAATAAATATTCCAATTCCATGGCTCCGGTGGGTTTGATTTGAAACACCGAGTGAACGAATCCTATGCATTCATCATCAAAACAAACAAATTTAAAGATCAAATGGAGGGGAAGTTTCAGCTCTCAAAGAATTGAATTCCAGGACGAAAAGAGAACAACCAATTAGCCCTGAAAATAACAACCCCCCTTTCGCTATGAATGAAAATGACGAGAGAAATTGAAAACGATGAGGAGGGAAAGCTCACATCAACAATAGCACCAGCAGCTTCGGTGAGCGTCGGCGAAATATCAAGCAAATCGCGCCTAAGAAGTATCGACAAGTTAATAAGCTAATCAAATCTCTCGGAAATGACAACCAACAAATCGGATGGCATGATAAAAGAATAAAAATCTCGAAGCAATATGAAATTGAAGAAAAGGGAGAGAGAAAAGGGAAGATTACAGGCGGAGCTTCCCAGTGGGTTCTTGGATTGAGGATCCGGAAGGCAGGTAATCTTCAATATTGGGACGATCCAAGTCCAATTCAGAGCGGGAAGTGTTGAGAGAAGCAGCGCCACTCATAATTGGCGGGTTTGGGAATCTTGTAGAAATCTACCTGCTCTTCTTCTTCTTCTTCTTCTTCTTCTTCTTCTTCTTCTTCTGGTTGTTGTTGATTGTGAGGGCCTGAGATTTGGTTCTGGATTGAGTGGTTGGGTGGATTCAGTTACTCATATTGCTCGACACAAACCAATGGAATGGGTCCTCTTTCTTTTACCTCTCTTTCTTCCATTTTCATCTCCCCTGCA